ATAATTAGCTATCTTTGCACCTGAAAAACAGACAGGGAATTTATCTGCAATATGGCCTGGGGAGAGGAAGCCTGTCTGAAACACTAGAGAGTTTCTACCCTGGTAATAGACTAACTGCTATTTGAGGCATATGGGAGACAGATGAGGTATATACATGATCACTGGGGAAGGAAGGCTGTTGCTGCTGCACTGCTAGGAGAAGGGCCAGGAAGTGAAAGAAACAGACCCAGGACAGTACTGTCTATGCTCTAAAAATTTTGTACACTAGGGCAAAGCTCCAGTGGCCCACCCTCGTTACTGCTGTGGTACATACTGAAAACATATTGCCCATCTGAGACACCCAGGCCAGTTGGGAGGGAGTTCTCTGGGTCTGCCCAGGAGCATGCATACCTCCTTTGCCCGGAGCTGGTCCTCCCCAATGGTGATACTCAATAAGGGCCGGATATGACACAGCATCTGCCACCAAGGCCAGTCCTTCACCACCTGGAACACCATTAGATTCCTCTGGACACACTGGACAGCCAGCTGCCGGATCTGAGAAGGGAAGAAGAGGGGGAAAGAACTGAGAGCCCGGGCTTTCTTCAGTTAAAAAAAGATTGGTTCCCATGGAGCAGAGATGGGATCTTCACCCCAAGGAAGTAAGAAGTGGCAGAGAATTTCAAATAAGGCAAAAGCAAGAGTTTTAAACTTTAGTAGGATGGAGTTGCAATAAACTGTAGGTAATTAATTTCAACAACACAAGCATTTATTAAATACCTACTATGTGCCAGGCAGTATGCTAGGGGCTGGTGATGCAGAGAAAAAAGTGAGAGCTCCTGCCCTCGACAAGTCTGCTGGGAACACTTCTTGGACTAAAAGTCTAATAAAACATTGGGAACAGAAGTCTGATGAGACATTGGGACAGTGTCCTGGGAACCTTCTTCTCCAGTAGAATGTAAGCTCATTGAGGGTAGGGACTATATTGTTGTCTTTATAGCCTCAATACCTTGCAAAGAACTTTACACATAGTAGGTGCTTCATGTTTGTTGGATTTAATTATCTAGCTATTCTTCAGCAAAGGAGAGCTTAGGCAAATTTCTACTTAAAGACAGTGGGATGGACAGCATGGCTCTCAAATTTTATTTTATACCCATGAGTAAGAAATTTTAACACTCTCCTTCCATTCCCCCCCTTACTAAGGATAGTACAGACCAAATATACATATGGTAGATCCACACTGGTTTATTGAGGAGCGCCAGGAGTGTTAGTAGAATGCCAATCACCTTTTATGGCCAATCCCAGCCTCAAAAACTATCAGTGGCAAAAGCCTGGGTGGGATGGTCATGGAGCTAACCCAGTGTAGGCAGGGGACATTCTCAAATCCTTTACCTTCAATTTCTTGAATTGTTGACGGGACAAGAATCCCTTGCAGGCAGCTTGAAAGAGAATTATATTCCGAGACACCAGCTTCTCCCTCTGCCTTTCCAGCCTGGAGATGATGCCTGACTTCAGGAAAATCTGAAAGTATGGGAGGTCATTAGGAATGATCCCTGGATCTTTGTGGAAGCTGCTCAAGGATTCCAGGAAATAAGTAAACCAGAGGACTCCATCTCTGCCCTGCTGATCACAGCACCTCAGACCCAGGTCCGAACACAGCAAATCAGCATGACATGGTGGATAGAGCATAGGAATTGGGGTTGGGAAGATACGAGTCAGACACTTAACAGCTGTGTGACCCTGGGCAAGTCAGAACCTTTTTCTGACTCAATTTCCTTATTTGTAAAATAAGAGAGTTAGACTTGATTGCTCTAAAGTCCCTCCTAGCTCTAAATCTACAATAGCATGATCTATGTGCCCCAACATAGTATGACCAACAAACCACATAGAATCACAATCAGTCAGTCAATCAGCTGCCCAAAAAAGGCAGTGTTAGGTAAACCAAGGAAAGTCAACTCACTTCTATGGGGAAACTGAGAAGTTCCTTAGAGGTGGGGAGATGTAGTGAGAGAAGGAGAAGACTGAGGCCTGTACTCATACCAAAAAGAAATAGTGTGGGGCAGTAGAAAGAGCATCTGACCTGGAGTAAGAAGGCACACTGATGGAAATCCTAGCTCTCTGTGCCCCCGGGTAAGTCACTTACCTCAATATGTATCGGTTTTCTCATCTATGAAATGAGAAGGCTGAAGGACATGGATTCTGAATTCATTTTCAGCTCAGAATCTGTGATCCTCAGGGCAGCTAGGTGGTGCAGTAGATAGAGCACCAGCCCTGGAGTCAGGAGGACCTGAGTCCAAATCCAGCCTCAGACACATGATACTCCAAGTCACTTAACCCCAATTGCCTCAAATTCAGCATTTCTTCTCCTTCCCCCCTCCCCCATTTCTTTTTGGTAGGAGTACAACCCTCAGTCCATCCCTATTAGAGAAGGATATGAAATGAATCAGAAAACCTTCAGCGCCTGCACTCAAACCATTTCCCTGACCCACAGACTGCTCGTGCCCTTCACTGTGCTGAACAAAACCTAACTCTAGGGATCTTCTCACATTGGATTTTGATTGGACGCTGGGTGAAGCAGAGAGTTCCATCAGTCCTCCATTCATCTCCACCTATTTTCAGGCATGGCGACAACTCTGCCGATGCCTTAACAATCCACTGTGCAAGATGGAAAAAATCAGTCTCAGGCTCTCACTGCAAGAGCCCCTCTTTGGTTGTTTCCGGCATCTCTGCCAAGACAATTAGCCTCATTGAAATAAAGATATGATTGACTCGTGGCCTCCCTGATTACTTCAATAACGACTGTATTAATTTCACAAGCTAGCGAATTCGAAAAACCACTATAAAAATCAATGGCCAAAATGATGAGAGAGCCAAGTCTGTAGATTACAAAAGGTGGCCAGCACTGCCAAAACACTATTGATTAAGTATGAAAGTTTCATTAAAAAGATAATTGGAAGCTACTATGCACAGAATAGAAATAAGTCATTCCACCCCACTGAGTCATGTCTTACAATCTGTCATTTTTCTCCAGAGCCATCTCACAGGCTGGAGGCCCAGATACAAGCAAAAACATACTTTCGACATCAATGTTATGGTCGTGGTATGGACCATGACGAGGCCATAGAGGCTGGAAATGACAAGGAGAAATAGGAACTGTCCAGTTGTCCCCAGTGCTGAAGCTTATCTGGCCTGTGCACAACTGTTCCATCTCCCTTCTCAAAGGATGTTAGCTGGCTCCAATGTCCCACCCACCCAGGCTTCACAGAATTCTTCCAGCTTTCCCTACCCCAGCTCCTTTTCTCCTGTGGCTCAGGTGACTGCAATCCAGTCAACACAACCACTGCTTCAATCAATTGTCCTAGGGCTCCCCTCACTCCCAAACCAGAACATATTTCACTTGCCACCACCACCCTAAATGTGCTGTCTCCTTGTGTTAGAATGGAAGTTCCTTGAGGGCAGAAACTGTCCTGATTTTATATTTGTGTCTCTAGCTGCCAGCGCCTTCCTCTGAGTTTACTTCATATTCTATTTGTCTTGTACCTACGTGTACATGTTGTCTCACCAGCTGAATGTAAGTTCTCTGACAGCAAGGTCTGTTTCATTTTTCCCTTTGTATCCCCAACCCTTAACGTAACACTTGACACATAATAGGTGCCTAATATATGCTAGCTGATTGATTATTGATCAGCATAATTCCTGGCACATGGGCTTAATGACCATTTTTTCATTCATTCATTCCCAAGGGCCAATGCTATCCAGATTTCATTCCTCCCATGAAATTTGGAGATAAAAGTAACACCTCAATTATTCAGCAACATTAGATGATGAGGCTTTCTACATTAGTGCCATTTCCAGATAAAAGAAGGTTAGACATTTAAATGCTGAATACTTTTGAAAACAATATTTGATTTTATAAAAATAACCCAATATGCACATAGCTATTTGGAGGTATTTAATAAATTCTCATTGATTGATTCTAGACGTAACAGAAGGAGGCTGTGGAAGGCAGTGGAAAGAGTACTGGGCTTCTAATCAGGAGACACCTATGTTTGAAATCTAGCTGTGATGCTTACTAGCTCTGTGACCATCAGCAAGTCACTTAATCTTTCTTCACCTCAGTTTACTCCTCTGTAAAATTGGGATAATGCTATCTGTAGTGCCTCCCTTGCAGATTTTGTCAAATGTGAAAATTCATAAAAAGTGCTATCACAAATCATAAGGGAAAATAAGGACATTACCATAAGAGTGGCAAGAGGAGAGATGTCCTTATTTTCAAGGGGGAAAAGGGAACAGCAACAATGATAATTAACATACATAGAGGTAGCGAGGTGGTACAGCGTATAGAGAACTTGACCTGAGTTCAGATCCTGCCTCAGACAATCAGTAACTGTGTGACCCCAGGCAAGTCACATCACCTCTGTCTTCTTCAGTTTCCTCAAGTGTAAAATGGGATTAAAAAAAAGGACCTATCTTCCATCTCTGTTGTCACTTACTATTATCTTGGGCAAATCACTTAACCTCTCTGGGCCTCAGTTTTCTGATCTATTCAATAAGTAATTCTTTAAGCTCCTTTCTGATTCGAAAGCTGTGATTTTATGATCCTAAATCTCCCATGATATTCTTGCTGTTCCTGTACCTGTAATTCACACTGTTCTCATCATGGCCTCTCAGAAAAATACCCAGTTTCCTTCAAGGCTCAGCTCAAACACAAAACATCCACCTCTTAATGTCATCTCCTCCTCCTCCAATCATCTGCTTCTAATCTGTCTGGTGCTAATATTATACTGATAAAACTTGGATCTAAAAGCCAAGTCTGGAAGTTTCTCCTAAGGGAACAAAATGCATGGGCTTTGTGGCTGAGCTTTTAGCTGCTCAAGGATCAGTTTCCCCCTAACTTCCAGATTCTCAGCTATTCTAGACGGCTAAGATGGCCAGAGAAGATAGTAATTGTACTGTGCCTCAGATGTCCAAAGTGTTTTCACACACATTTTTAAACTCAATGAACAAACATTGACCAAGTGCCGTACAAGGCTAGGATGCAAAGCCAAAAATTAATCAGCCCCTACCCTCCAGGAGCCTACATTCTATTTGTGGAATCAATATGCACATACTGCAGTAGAAGCCAAGTAAATACAAGGGGTTTCATTTGTTTAGTTATTGGGAAGTCAGGGAGGTAACAGAGGACAGGGTTGAATGGTTAATCTCATTTAACAAAGACATTGAAACAGAAGGTAGAAGGAACTGTCCAGGGTTGCCCAGTAGATTAGACAGTACTAAGACTCAGTTGCAGCTTTCCTCCCTCAGGTGGGGTGGCTAATTGGAGCCTACCCCAGGGTATGCCATAATGCCTGGGAGACAGCATAGCCCTTTTCATAATGCATGTGGGGAGACAGTTACCACTTAGGATTTTTGTATCTGACAGTTTCCTTTTTCCTTTGTGAATGTAAAGAAATCAGTATGACTCGCTAGAGAATGTATATGTGCACATGTGTAATTTTACTTGATACTGATGAGTAAAGGTACCTTCTCTTGGTTCTCCCTAATATTAGGGTGCTTGTTTTCTCTCCTATTAAAACCTCTCTTCCTGGAAGCTAGGCTGGTATTCCTAGGTAGGATCTCAAGAGAAAACTCCACTTCCCTTAAAGAAAGTCTCTATTGCCTTCCCACCCACTGTGACCATGCCTCAAGGCTGCTTCCCTTGGTAGCACACAGGTTATCTGGAGATGAATGGAGCTCCTTAGAAAGCTCTGTTGGAAGTCTCTGCTAATGGTTTATTTTCCTGCTTGCCTATGCAGTTCATTGCTTTCCACTATTTTTGTCTTATATTCCTAAACAAGAGGACAGCTATTTCCAAAACTTCGAGTTTCTTGGATAATCTCATCTCAGCCCAGACGGAGCATCACTTTCTGCTTGTTTTCTTTCATGGTAGACTACAGTTTCTATAGATAACCAATTTCAACATCAGGAGCACAGAAGAGGAAGAAGAGTATTCTGGTCTAAAGTTTGCCATCCTGTTCTATGCAGACAATCATGGCCCTAGACTCCTGGGGAACTGGAAAGCTGAAACAGGTCCCATGCATCATGGAATCCTAGCTCTGGAAATGGAAGGGACCTCAGAGGCCATCTACTCCAACCTTTTCTTTTACAGATGAGGAAACTGAGGCCCAGAGAAGTCATGTGACCTGCCCAAAGTCACTCAGATGCTGGATTTTAACTCAGGCCTGTAACTTCAGAGGACCTGACTATTAGTGAGTCTTCTTTCTCTTTCTCCTTATTAAGTGGGAAAAAGGAAAGCAGGTGAGCCCTCTTTAGTGCTACCACCTGGACTGTGGTGGTGCCCAAACCTCAGTGACCTATCTGGGAAACTGCTCATCCTCTGAGCCATCTGTAAATGTGCCACACCCCCTCCTTTGGCCTTTGCACTGCCCAGGGAGCCAGTGGGGACTTGGGACACTTCCATTCCTCCTCTGTTGTCACACACACACACACACACACACACACACAACCTCAGCTAGCTGCAGAAAATATTCTTCAATCTTCATCATTAAGACCCAAAAGAGGGCCTTTTCCTTTCTCTCTAAAACGGCAGTTAATTTATCACAAAAGCACTCACTTGGGCAGCAAATGCTATGAGATTCAGGACATAATAGAGACAAGAGAATCTGATCTGTTTGCTTTTTCCCTTAGTCCTGCAGATGCCCAAATCACACTAATCTGGAAGCCCTGGATGAACTAAATCAGAGAAACGGGGTGGCTCACTTGCGTGTTGCCGAGCTGGGCAGCTGCTTTCTCCAGATCCAGTTCCTGCAGGATTTCCTCAATAAGCTGGGGAAACAGAAATAGAGAATTGATTAATTTATCAGTCAATCAACAAACAGATACTGTGTGCCAGATACTTTTCTAGGGACTGGGATATAGGTGGTCCAGTGGGCGGAGTGCTGGACCTGGAACCAAGAAGTTGTTCGGTCATTCATTTCAGTGACCCCATTTGGGGTTTCCTTGGGAGAGATACTGAAGTGGTTTGTCATTTCCTTCTCCAGTTCATTTTACAGATGAGGAAACTGAGGCAAACAGGGTGGAGTGACTTGCCCAGGGTCACACAGCTAGTGTCTGAGGCTGGATTTGAACTTAGGTCTTCCTGACTTCAAGATAATTCAGGGGAGCTCTAGACCCAGTGCTCTATCCACCGTGCCACCTAGCTGTCCCTAGGCGAGAAGACCTGCATCTTCTCTGAGGTGAGGCAGCACCATCTCTCAAGCCATCCGTTAACATCAAATGACTGGATTTGTCTTTTTCCAGGTCCATGGGCAAGGGGAAGGCACTGCCTTGGAGTAGAGGGCTAGCTCCCCCTAGGGGTCATCCCAGCCCTTAGTGATGCTAGCTGACCAAGCTCCAGGCACCGCCCATCCATCCCCACATGGGGCTTACATTCACGGAGCATTAGGAAGTCTATTATTCCCAGCAGAAGCTGTCAGACACATAATTGCGGCAATGCAGAAGGGAAAGGTATTACGAGCCTGGCGCGATTTAGTAGACGAGTTCTATTCCCCTCTGCCACAGACGATATGGCTGAAAACTTCCTAAGACACCAAGAAAAATGCTTATTAGAAGTCTGGCCCCAGAACACAATCAGAGAGAAACCTTCCTCCGCTGACCTTGGTCGAAGCACAGCCCATTTCTCCCGAAATCGGCTGGTTTTGATTATTACTTCTAGCTGGAGATGGTCCAGAGGAGCTCCAGGCATAGATGGATACAGCCAAGAAAATCAAAATATATAGGACTTTTTTTCTTAGATGAAAGGAAAGGGGGTAGGGGAAGGAGCAGCCAAGTGAAAATAAGGTTTGATAGACAAAGAACTCAGAAATTGTTCTGTATATTTGCAGAAGCCCTGGAAGGAACTAGGTCCCTTCATCCATACCTCAGGGTATCCCTTCATTCAGCAAACCCTGAGAGGGGATTTCTCCGTCCTTGGGGTAGCAGAAATGTCCTAGAGCAGAAATAGGCTCCCCCAGCAGCCTGACCTGTCCCAAAGTGATTGGCTAAATAGATCTTCCTTCCTTCCTCTTCCATTTGAGGAAGGCTTTCTATGGCATCATCAAGATAAGTGCTGCTCCAGACAATTGAAGTTTGTTTGTAAAATTCTTTTCTAAGAAAGAATGCTGAATTTGGAGCCAGAGGTTCTGGGCTTGGGCTCACACCCTTTCTTACTAGCTTTGTGACCTTGAGAAAGCTATGGGACCACAGATTTAGGACTGGAAGAGGACAATAGTATTGAGTGACAAAGCCAGGTACCCTGATTTCTGATCCAACACTCTTTCTACCCCCCATAAGAAATTAGCTCAGTTTCCTCATATGTAAGAAGGGGTTTGAATGAAGGAGTTCTAAGGTCCCTTAGAGCTCCATTTCTATGACCCTAGGAAATCGTTCTAAAATGCACCACACACTTCCTTTCCTTCCACGAACTCAATCAACAGAATGATCCCCAGTCCTCCTCTCTGGTACCAAGGTGGAAGATGATTTAGTCCTATATTTGTTCTTGAGTTGTGCTATCTCACTGGGACCACAGATTTGGAGGACTTAGAGCTGGAAGAGACCTCTGAGGCATTTTAATCCAACCTCCTCACTTTACAGATGAAGAAACTGAGGCCAAGAGAGGTTAAGTGACTTGCCCAAGGCCACAGAAGTAGTAAGCATCTGCTCTAGGATTTGAACTCAGAACATGTGACTACAAGGTTGGTGGCAGGATGCCAGCTGCTATCCTCTCTCCGGCTTCTATTGCTTCTGCTTCTCACTGGTCCTTCCCAAGGGCCCTTCTTACTATTTCCAACCCGCCATGGGGTGGAAACTCAGACAACCAGGACAATTCAGCACTGGCCTAATGGATGATGTGTATCTGCTAATAACCTCCTGCTTCTGAGGCAGCTGGGTGGCGCAGTGGATAGAGCACCGACCCTGAAGTTAGGAGGACCTGAGTCCAAATCTGGCCTCAGACCAAACACCTGATACTTACTAGCTGTGTGACCCTGGGCAAGTCACTTAACCCCAATTGCCTAAAAAAAATAATAATGACCTCCTGCTTCTGGACCATCCCTTATACCAGTTTCAGAATTTCTTTCACTGGATCCTCACAATAGCCCTGTTATTATTCTCATTTTACAGGCAAGGAAACTGAGGCAAGGGGAGGTGAAATGACTTGTCCAAGGTTACAAGGCTAGTAAATATCTGAGACAGAATTTGAACTCAGCTCTTGCTGATTCTTTGTCCACAATGCCATTAATAGAACAATAAAGCAATAACAATACTCTTACATCTGTATAGTGCTGTAAGATTTGTAATGTGCGTTATCTAATTTGATCATCGTAATGAGGTAAGTAGGTGGCATTGTAGATGGAGGCAGAAGACCCAGGTTCAAATCCTGTGGGTGATTTGCCCTTCCCCACCCCACCCCAAAGCTGCATTATTTATCTATAAAATGAGGGGGTTGGACCAGAGGTCTCTGATCTGAGGTCCCTTCCAACTCAAGCTCTACAATCCCGTCATGCTGGGCCTTTAAATATATGAAAAAATACCACTGAGCTTCTGATATTCCTAGCCCTCAAAGACACTAGGTCATAGGCTTTAGAGTGGGGAGGGCTCTTTGAGATCATCTAGCCCAAGGCCTTACTTTAGAGGAAGAAACTGAGGCATAAAGAAAAGTGACTCACCCAAGGTTATAATACAGTAAGAGTTTGGGATCTGAAGCCAGGTCTTCCAACTCCAAAGCCACTGTTTCTGACCACACCACAGAATGATAAAGGTACCTTGGAGCTTGGGGAAGGATTCAGAGCCCACCTCAGACTCATGAGCTGTGTGACTTCACCTCTCTGACCCTCATTTTGTTGATCTGAAAAATGGGCATGATAATCTGGGCACCTTCATTGCAGGGGGAGGGGAGCGTTCAGGGAGGCCACATATGAAAAGCCGGTGTTGATCCTTCAGAGGGCTATGCCAGCGTCAGCTAGTCAGAGGAGCTGGAGTGGGAGTGCTCCTGGATTGATTCTTTATATTGATGGTATGGCCTGGGGACCAGAGCAATTAGATCGGCAATGCTTGCCCTCCATTATTTATTCTATTAACAGATGAGGAGTTGGTAGAATGTAGCTGAGAATTCAAAATCAGGCATGAGCATCCTCCTGTGGCCCCATCTTCAGGGTAACTTCTCTGGCATTCAGTGCAAAGATCTCCCTCCCAGGCTTCCAAGGGACCCTCCCCAACGAGATCATCCAAGCAGGCCTCCCAACAGAGAAGGGGCTGAGCATTCCAGACAAGGCTGAGTGCCTGAGAAATTCAGTGGAAGAATAACGAACAAACGGGGTGTAAAGCATTGGTAAGAAGAGCATGGCATTGGAAATGAACGGCTGCTGTATGAAAACAAGGGCTTTGGTGAGCATACACAGATCCTCCCATCTCCTAATTATACAGCTACCTGAAGAAGGAGAGGCGCCTCCACGCCTCGCAGAGAATCACAGATGAACACAATGCTCGGGCTAGTAGGGCCCTCAGAACATCCGACAGCAGAGCTGGGAAGGGCCTTAGAACAGGATGTCAGGGCTGGGGAAGGCCTTAGAACAGGGGATGTCAGGGCTGGGGGGGCCTTAGAACAGGGGATGTCAGGGCTGGGGGGGCCTCAGAACAGGGGATGTCAGGGCTGGGAGGGGCCTTAGAATAGGGAAAGTCAGGACTGAGAGAGGCCTTAGAACACAGGACATCAAATGTTGATGGCCTGAAATAATCTTAGAATATATAATGCTTGAGCTAGAAAGGCCTTAGAACATAAAACCCTGCATGTTCCAAGCTGGAAAGAACTCTGGAACAATAAATCTTACAACCAGAAGGCTCTTCATGTTGCCACTTCCCTTTCTATGGTCACGGACTCAGATCCTCATAGCCCTAGAATCAAGAAGATCCTTGGGGACCAGCTAGTCTAACCCCGTCTTTTTATGGAGGAGGAAACTGAGGCCCAGAGAGGTTGAGTGAGCATTGGAGGCAGGACATAAACCCAGGCCCTTTTCACCACACCATGCTGCCTTCCTGGCCATTGCTTTAATAATCCCTTCTAGAACTTTGTCCAGAAATCAAAGTCAAGATCACCCATCACCTTCTGGTTGGCAGACTCTGTTCGCTTTGCTGTGTTTTTCAGACCAGACCCGGATTCCCTCTCCTCTATCAAAATGTCGGGGATGAAAGGGACCTTACAATAAAGAATGTGAGAAATGGGAGGGGAGAGGTTTCCCTTCCTTCTCCCCTCTGTCAAAATGGATCCATCTTGGGGTGGGGGCATCTCTTTTATATGTGGGTGACAATGACTAGTAAATGTTAATGCCTGCCCACTGGGTATGCTGGGAAATATTTAACAACTGGCTCCTGTAAACACAAGTGAAGCCCTGATTTGTAGCTGTTTACCAGTTTCCAAGATGTAAACGCCCATACCCAAAAATCACTGACCAGCTCTCCTTTGGGATGAGCCTGGCTGTAGCACACCCCAGTTAGCCACTCATCAGTGAGTTCCTGACTTGCTTTCCATCCAGCAAACAGAGGGCTTCCCCCAAGGCAAAATGCGAGATCTCCCCCAGAACCCCTCCTCAGGAGTGACCTCACAGGGGTGGGGGTGGGGGGTTCTTGGACTAGAACAGGCCATCAAGAATGCGTTTTTTGGACAAGGGGCCTTGTGGGACTCTCCGATTGAACTCGGCTCCTGCTGTCTGACTTCAGATTCCGGTCAGCCTCTAATTCTCTGGGTGACCTCAGCTCAAGGCGCTGGCCCTCCTCAGGCTCCAGTGTGCTTAGTTGTGAAAGAGGAGGTTGTTTTAAGTGGTTTTCAAGGCTTTTTTCAGCCTTGACATCCCCTGTTCTGAGGGCCCTCCCAGCCCTGACATTCCCTGTTCTCAGGCCCCTCCCAAATCTGACCTTCCCTGTTCTCAGGCCCCTCCCAGCTCTGACATCCCCTGTCCTGAGGCCCCTCCCAGATCTGACATCCCCTGTTCTCAGGCCCCTCCCAGCTCTGACATCCCCTGCTCTAAGGCCCCTCCCAGCCCTGACATCCCCTGTTCTCAGGCCCCTCCCAGCCCTGACATCCCCTGTTCTCAGGCCCCTCTCAGCTCTGACATTCCCTGTTCTCAGGCCCCTCTCAGCTCTGACATTCCCTGTTCTCAGGCCCCTCTCAGCCCTGTATTCTAAGCTTTTAGCTCACTTCAGGTTCTTTCTTTTGACAATCCATTTTGTAAAAACCCTTTTATGGTTCAAGTCCAATAAGCCTAGTTCTACAGAAGGCTAAGGGAGGCTCCCTCTGGATGTTTACACTCATTGTGAACCAATAGCAAAGGGCCTGATGGACAGGGTCCTTCTCATGTGCTGATGACTCCAGGCCTCAGGGAATCACCGAGTGATACCATTTCAGGCTCAGAAGGAGGCAGGGAGCTGAGAGTCAACGAGATGCCAGTTAATAGTGAAATATCCTCCTGTGTCAACGACCACACTGAGCACCCCGGGTCAGGAGTGCGTGCCCTGGAGAGACATGGCTAGTGATGGGCTCTCCCCGCAAGGTCCTTCCCCACTCCCCAGGCCACAGGCGCAGGACATTTGGCCAGGGTCAGGCACAATCCCTGGATTCACAACAGAGTTCACCTCCACACAAGGTGGCTTGCCTAGCTGAAGCCTGGCTTGGACCTCCTTAGCACCACTCTAACAAAGGAGCTCCCAACTCCAAGCAGTCCCATATTTAGGCAAAGAACCCAAAGGGCGATGTTTGGAAGCTGCTGCTCTGTTACCAGGGTTATCACGAGGAGATCCCTTTAAAGCCACAAGAGATAAGAAGAATTTGGAGCTCTGGTCACTCAGAGCCCTCAGGGACCTCCGGGCCAATCCAGACCAGCCCCTGCATTTCTAGAGAGCAAGAAACAGGTCATAGAGGGGCCGAGGGGTTAGAGCCCCAGCAGCCAATTTCCTCTGCATCACCTCCGTTAGGAAGAATGATAGACTCGGGGTCAGAGGACCGGGGTTCAAATTCAGACATTGCTCCTTGCTCCTTGTGTGATCAGTGAGCTTTCACCAATAAACAAGGAGTTCGAATTTAGCTGACCTTTGAGGTCCCTTCTAATGCTGAATCAGCTTATTAGGAGGAAGAGGTAAGGTGAGGCATGGATATGAGTTTTGCCTTGGGTGCCCCTCCACCAGAAAAAAAATTCCCCCAAGTGACAAGCCTGGATGCCAACACACGCTGGGAGACAATCCTGCCATTAAACGCCTGTTCCAGGCCGGGCTGGACCCAGAACATGGAGGATTGGATCTGTCTCCCCTTTCCTTCTGACCACGGAGTCCCTTCCACCTCCTATCGGTATCTAATAACAACATTGACCTTTTCTGCCTGTCAGACATGTCTGATTCAATTGTGACGTCTTAACTGAATTTGCACACAGGCTCTGACAGTTTATCCAACTGAGCACGTGTTTATGTTTAATTCATGCCGTGACGGAGCTTCCCGGCCAATGCATATTTATCAGCTTTTTCATAAGAGGCAGGATGGAGTTTACTTTCATTGCCCCCAAAAATCTCTGCTGCAGCAAACCATGTTTGTGAGAGGATTTTAAAAGTCACCCCTCCTCCCCCACCTCAGAATCAAAATCTGAACCACTTGGATTTTTCCACTTGCTCAAGCTTGATTTTGCCTCAAACCAGAGAGGCTTTGATCCTCGTGAGCCCAAGGATGAAGCTAAAGGGCAGACGGAGCCCTGGCATGAGAGGCACAAGACCTGGGCCTGAACCAAGGGGCAGCTGCTGGGCTGGAGGCCGAGGGCAGGAGGTGAAGCATGGCTCTGCAGCTCACAACTGGGGGGATGGGAGGGAGCAGAGGCATCCCCCATCATGGCAGTTTCCTCTGTGCAATATAAAATTAAGTAAAAGGATTTGACTACATGTTTTAAAAGACCCTTTTACCTCCAACATTATCTGTTCTAGGGTCCCTCCCAGATCTGACATTCTCTGTTCTAGGGTCCCTCCCAGCTCTGACATTCCCTGTTCTAGGGTCCCTCCCAGCTCTGACATTCCTTGTTCTAGGGTCCCTCCCAGATCTGACATTCTTTGTTCCAGGGTCCCTCCCAGCTCTGATATTCTATGTTCTAGGGTCCCTCCCAGCTCTGACATTCCCTGTTCTAGGGTCCCTCCCAGCTCTGACATTCCTTGTTCTAGGGTCCCTCCCAGATCTGACATTCTTTGTTCCAGGGTCCCTCCCAGCTCTGATATTCCATGTTCTAAGGCTCCTCCCAGCTTAACAATGATGACTCTATGATTAATGATCACACTCAATCCCTGGGCATAGTTAAAGCAATTGGTGATCCCCCAATGATAATGCTAATGAATGAGCTTTGGGGCAAGGAAGAGTTCATGGGGACAATAATAGCACTTTGCCAACCTTGACGGGGTAGAAACATATTAGCTATAATTACCAAAACCCCACCTTCTTCCTCTCCTCTTCTTCCTCTTCTTCCTCCTCCTTCTCCTTTTTCTTCTCCTTCCTCTTCCTCTTCTTCTCCTTCCCCTTCTCCTTCCCCTTCCCCTCCTCCTCCTCCTTTTCCTCCTCTTTCTTCTCCTTCACCATCTCATCTAACTCCCTCATTGTACACAGAAGGACAGTGAGCCCCAGAGAGAGGAATGTACTTGTCCAAACATGGGCAGGTGAGAATTCAAATCCTGACCTCTGCCTCCACGGCCTCTCAATGAAATTCTTTTTTCGCACCCAACAGCAGCTCTCTGATTCAGTATTTCTAGAGGCTCACCCAATGTTTTTATAAACATGATTACTTCTGAGCTTTACAATGACCCTGTCAGGTAGGTATTATGCCCATATTGCAGATGAGAAAATTGAGGCCCAGAGAGGTTAGGTGACTTGTCCTTTGTCATGCAGCAAGTAAGTGTTAAGAGTTGGTTTTAAGCCCAAGCCTTCTTCTACCTCCAGGTCTAGCCCTCTTCTCACTGGTGAGAGACTCTGCTCAGCCCTCCAAGGCATCTCCTCCCCAGCCCCAGTCCCTCCATGCAGTATCCCATACCTTCCTCTCCTCCATCCTCTCATGGGCCAGCAAAAGCTTCTTCATAAACTCTGGAGCCAGAACTTGGAACTGCCGCCTGAATCGGGTGAAGCCCATGTGGTCTGTGTAACCTGGGGGAGGGAGGCAAAGGGAAACAGGGCAATGAGCCTCATGGAAAGTCCAAGAAGTCTGCTACCCACCTAGTACAACCCACAAACTGATAGGAGACACAAAGGGAAGGCCTGGGTAAGCAGGTAAGCCTCCCTGGAGGAGGCGTGCTTGGAGATGCTCCTTGAAGGTGGTAATGGGTGCAAACTGTGATAGGGGAAGAAGAAGGCAGAGAGGCTGGAACAGGAAAAAAAAAAGCCTAAAGAAGCAAGAAAAAAGGCCTGGGTTCAAATCCCACCTCAGACACAGACTGTGTGGCCTTGGATAAGTCACCATGTCTGGTTCTCATGACCTCCCAGGTTCCTTCCATCTCTAAGTCTGTGACCCTGTGATATGGGCGTCCTCCACATCCACAGGGGACAACAGGGGACAACAGAGACAGTATCTGTCAGTCATCCAGCACAATAAGGCTTGCAAACACTTTAGAACTATTATCTCATTCAATTTGCACAGCAACCCTGTACAATTTTTGTTTAGATTTTCAGTCATTTTTCAGTCAAGTCCAACTCTTTATGACCCCATTTGGGGTTTTCTTGTCAAAGACACTAGAGTGGTTTGCTATTTCCTTCCCCAACTCATTTTACAGATGAGGAAACTGAGGCAAAAAGAGTAAAGTGACTTGCCCAGGGTCACACAGCTAGTAAGCATCTGAGGCCACATTTGAACTCAGAAAGATGAGTCTTCCTCACTCCAGGCCCAGCATTCTATCCACAGTGCCACCTACCTATTATTACCCCCCATTTTACAATTGAAGAAACTGAGGCTGATAGAGGTTAGGGGACTTGCCCAGGGTCACACTGCTGATCAGTGTCAGAAGCTGGATTTGAACCCAGGACTTCCTGGAAAATCCTGGAGGGTTAAGGTAGTGTCAGCATGCTGAGGGCCTTAAAGAGCAGGCAAAGGAATTTAAATTTTTCTGGAGAGGCAGTAGGGACCCACTGGTGATTTTTTGAGCATGGGAGTGACATGGCCAGAGACGGCTCTTCTTTCAAAGGGTTATTTGTGGAATCAAATTCAGGCTTAATGGGGACAATAACAGAAGCCCCCACATTTGTATAATTCACATTACCACATATGATCTTCTCAGCAGCCCTGTGAAATAGGTGCTATGATTATCACCATTTTACAGATGAAGAAACTGAGGCAGAGAGCCATGAAACCTTCTTGAGGGCAGGACCTGTCCTTTCTGCTCATATTGTTATTCCCAGCACTCAGCACGGTGCTAGGCACAGAGGCGGGAGAAGAAGGTCTTGAACTCAGGTCTCGCTCCACTACATACATGATGTTGCCTCCCCACTGGCTGGTGATTATAGTAGAGAGCGTATTAGAATGTTTACTGAGGCCTCTGCATACAGAATCTCATGAGGACTCACAGCTGCTTTGTGAGGTAAACACTGCCAATATTATCATACCCATTTCACAGATGTAGGGACTGAGGCTGACAGAGGTGAAAAGAGCTGCTCTTGCTCTCATGGCTAGTGACTATATGGAGCAAAATTTGAACCCAGGTCTTCCTGAGCCTAAGCCCCACACCGTGTCTTCCATGCTGCCCTTCTCCCTACTTTTCTGGGTAGTAAATACCCTTCTCTCAATGCCACATGTCTATGTCTATGGTCCAGCAGCCCCTCTTCTGCCTCCTTCCTTAGCCCAGAGGTTTCTCCTTGTCTATGGCTCCCGGCGGCCTTGGACAAGGGGAGCCTTCAACCAGCTCTGAAGGGAGAGCAGTAAGATTCAGCTACATAGAGAGATGGGTCCTGTAGTCAGAGAGACCAGAGTTCAAATCCAGCCTCAGATACTTACTAAGTCTGTGACCCCGGGCAAGTCACTTAACCTGTCTGCCTCAGTTTCCTTAACTATAAAATGGGGATAATAAGATCATCTCCCTCCCAGCATTGTTGTGAGGATCAAATGAGATAATGCTTGTAAGAAGTGCTTAGCCCTGACACATACTAGGCACCATAGAAATTCTCTCGCTTCCCTCCCCTTCCTGTTCAGGTGGCCCAGCCAGCAGACAGCAGCCTCCTGCCTGAGTGACTTTACAGTGGCCCCCGGGGGCCGTGCGCCATTTCTCTGGCACCAGGCCCCCGCTGAATCAGCTGGCCAGGGCCGGCAGACGCTGCAGGGAGTCAACGCTCAGCAGCGCAGTGTGGGACGGGGCTCGGCAGCTGCAAGAGGGAGGGAGGCGGAGCTGTCCAGCGGCACAGGCTGCATGGTCCCCGGGGAGAGGGCGGCATTCAGGCCCAGGGCTCCCTGCTTCTCTGAGCAATGCCATCTTCTGGGGGATGCTGCAAAAAGAGATGCTAAAAGGGGGAGGAGCCAGAAACAGGGCAGGAACCCCTAGGGCTGGGACATCCTTCTGGGAAAAGGTGAAGATGGAAACCATGCCTGGAAAGGGGGAAATGCCGAGGCGCGGAAGGAAGAATCCCAGACGGTCCAAGAGGCAGGTGCGGGTTCCTATCCCAGCCTGACACTATCAGCTTGGTGAGCCCCGTGGAAAGAATGCTGGCTTGGGGTCAGAAGTCCTTGATTCTGGGCCCTGAGCTGGTACAAACTGCCAGAGGGACCCTGGACAAGTCACTGCCACCTCTCAGAGCCTCAGTTTCTTTATCTCCTAGATATGCCCTGCGGCTATTGTCAAGAAAATGTTTTGTAAATCTTAAAGCGCTCCAGAAATGGGACATATTATTATATTAGGTCCTAGCCCTGGCCGGACTAGTGTGCCAAGCGAGGTTGGGCAGGTGGGTCATAGTCCGTGGACCACAGTTTTCTCTGGTGTAAAATCCAGATCCTGGTAGATGTGATTTAGAGGAATCTGGCCCCATCCACTCATTTTATAACTAAGAAGGAAAAGTGACTTGTCTACACAGGTCACCAGCAGCAGAGCTGGGATTTCAGGGCAGGACCTCTGATCCCATAGCCAGCCTTTCTTTTCCACAGTCCCACACTACCCAGGTCATTCCCAGGCTTGTCAGTTATTCAGTCAACAAACACTGAACTCTCTGAAAGGCACAGCGAGGAGACACCAAGGCGATGGTGTCAGTGGACAGCAGCCCAGTGGTGAAGTGGACACAGCACAGACTGGGCTTGCAGTTGGGAAGACCCTGGGTTCAAATCCTTCCTTATCTCCCTGTCTCAGCCTCACCTTCCTCTCTGTAAAATGGGAATGATAATAGCCCTCTGCCAGACATGGCTGTTGTAAGGACCAAATGAGATCATGTGTGTAAAGCATTTTGGTAAATTCTAAAGCACTACAGGAATTAAAAAAACCCTCCTCCCCACAAATAAAAAATAAAAAATAACACACACACACACCTTCCCATTAGCAGAGCTCTAGTGCTGATGGGGGAAACAGCAGAGTCCTTCCTTGTCCTAGCATTGGACACCAGAACAGCGTGGCCCCAGCCTGAACAGTCAGCCCCTTGCCACACAATTTCCCGTCCCACACTCTGGGTGACCAGCTGGACTTAGGAGCTCATCCCAAACACCATCTCCTTGCTTCCATCTTTCCGGAATTTATATTTTCCTTTGAGGCTCAACTGAGGCACCGCCTCCTCTGAGGAGCCTTTCCAGACTCCCATAAGGTCCCCAAAAGGGTCCCTTCCATCCTCAGATATTCCTCGAACCCTTTGTGTCTGCCTCACCTTGAGTTCCCCTTCCCCTCTCCTCTTCCCTCCCCTTGCTCCCCTCCCCCAGTAGTCAGTGGGCTCCTTGAAGGTAGGGATTGGTCTGTTTTTATCCCTGGCTTCTGTAAGACTGAACTCAAGGGTCTCCTTTGCCAGCTGCCCCCTCCTCCCAAGCTGCCACTGCCTTAGCCTCTAAGGCTACCTTCTATGTACTCTGTATGTGTCTGGTATTTGACTAGTTGTTGACCTCTCATCTCCCCCATTAGACTGTGAGCTCCTTGAGGGAAGGGGCTGGCTTTTGCCTTTCTTTGTAACCCCAGTGCTTAGCACAGTGCCTGGCACACAGTAGGTGCTTAATAAATGTTTATCATCTGACCAACCAATACTTTGCTTTATAATTAGTTAATATGTATTAATATGAATAATAATAAGTATTTATTAACTTTATATTCATGCCATATACATCTTACAGAGGCAGCCAGATGGCTCATTGCCTAGAGCAGCCATCCTGAAGTCAGGAAAATCTGAGTTCGAATCTGGACTCAGACACTTACTAACTGTGTGACCCTGGGCAAGTCACTTAACCTCTGTTTGCCTTAATCCACTGGAGAAGCAAACAGTGAACCACTCCAGTGTCTTTACCAAGAAAACCCTGTGGACCCCGGAGGTCACAAAGAGTCAGACACAACTGAACGACTAAACAACAGTATTTTTATGTTCTTGTCTTCTCCATTAGGATGCTGTAAGCAGGGATTGCTCCCTTCTTTGTCCTACCATCATCCCCAGTGCCCAGCACAGTGCCACGCACATAACAGCCATTTAATAAATGCTCACTGATTGGTTGCTTTGCATCCCTAGCACCAGATCTGCCTTGACCGTACCAGGTACTTAGAAAATGTTTGCTGAAGTGAATCAAAGGCTGTTGCTGCCCTCATGGGGCTTATAGTCTAATAGGAAAATCTATATTCTATTAAAAGAATGGGCCTCAGTTTCCCAGCCTGTAAAAAAGGAGGCCAAGATCAATGTTCTTTAACATCTCTTTCAGCTTGAACCTCCTGATCTTGCCGATGAGCCTGCTTTGGAGGGCTAATGCTCCATACATGTCAGGTGCTCTTGGGGCTGGGGGACTCTCCTCATTATTCCTGGAGCAGGGCCACTTACCAATCCGGTGCAGCCTCAGGGCGTCTAGGACCTGAGCTCCAGCCAGCTGGACCCTCAGGCTGGAGATGTCCAGGGGGTGCTCTCTGTGGGCTGGTGCCAGGGAGGCATTCCCTCCTCTGTCCTCTGATCCTGATCTGGGGACCAGGCAATGGATAAAATGCAACTGGGACCGTTTGATCACATTGGTCAAAGCATCCTGGGGCACAGAAGGAGAGAGAGGTCAGGGCTAGATGTGACACACAGGAGGGGTTAATTAGGAGAAAGGAGAGATGGCTTTCAATTTGATTCGACAAACATGTATTAGGGGTGGGCGCTATGCTACAAGGTGCTTAGACACAAAGATTTAATGAAACAATCCCTGCCCTCTGGGAACCTAGATTCCCAGATCTTCCAGACACTTCCACTGCCTCACTGGAAACCTTCTTGCCCTGCAGATGCCTTCGTCCTGAGATCCCCCCTGTAGAAGAGCGAGTCCCTACTCTGGACCACAAGGGAAGGGTTCTACCTCACGAGTTTTTGCCACATTCTTCTCCCTCTCTCTGAAAACCACACACCAAGAGTCAAACCCATCAAGAGAACAAAGATGCTCCGGGTTGGAGAAAAAGCTAGAGGGCATTTAGTCCGATCACATCATTTTACAGAGAGGGAAAGCTGAAGCTTGTCCAAGGTCGCATCGTGACTGAGACAATTCATATCTTCTGACAACCGCCCGAGGTGAATTGTTTGTCCTTCATTTTCAAAGAGGACCATGACATCAGGAAGGTGATGCCATGACTAGCAAGTGAATCGGATTGAAGTGAGGCAGGGCTGTGCCAGGTCACCAGCCTCACTTTCTCCTCTGGAGCCATCTGGGTCCAGTGACCAGATCTAGATCAGGACGACTAGAGATGGCCCCCGAGGGACCTCCAGGGCTGACAAGTTGAACCCAGACCCAGAAAGGAAACCTTCCCACAGCACATCCAATAAGTGGTCGTCCAGCCACATTATTATTATTGCTAATAACAATGGCAGCTAGCACTGATGTAACTGCTTTGTTGCTTTACAAAGCACTTTAAAAATAAGGTCTCGGGGGCAGCTAGGTGGCACAGTGGATGGGCCCGGAGTCAGGAAAGCTTGAGTTCAAATCTGGCCCCAGACACTTTCTAGCTGCGTGACTCTGGACATGTCATTTAACCTTTCCTGTCTCATTTTTGTCACCCATAAAATGGGGGGTCATGATAGCCCCTACTTCCCAGGGTTATTGTGAGGATCAAATGAACTGATAATTGTAAAGCACTTAGCATAATGCCAGAAAGTGTTACATGAATGTTATTCCTCTAATGGGAATCTTCAATGACCTAATTTAAAACACGGTCTGATGATGGAATTTCAGGCACTGTGACAAAGGTAATGGTGATCAGATTTTTAACAGTAGTGAGAAGGGGGCTTCCTAGAGCCTCTCCCTTCCCACTCCCTGCTCAGCTGCTTCCTGTAACCCAACATGAGCTGTCCAGGGAAGGGAGGAGAAGGAGAGGGATTGGGGGTGCAGCGGTGGGGGGCTCACCATCTGGAGGATGATCTGGGTGCACACGGCCTTCCTCTTTACGGCTGCTAAGCTACTGGCAAACGTCTTCCTCACACAACCGACCCGATTCAAGGCCTGCTGGGAGCAGCCCTCCATGCCAGCCACTGCCCGGCAGACCGGGGGCACTCTGGAGCGAGGCAGGAACAGGCTGCTGAGGTCCTCCCTGGGGAGAGGAAATGTACGGCCATCACGCGGCTCCATGGAGGAACCAGAGTGAAGGACGGAGGATGAAGGACAGCGAACACCCCAAGTCAAGCAGGAAGCTTCCCCGCCCCCGACGCCACACCCTGTCCCCAGCCTGTGAAGGCTCCACCTACATGGAGGACTTCAGGGTCCCCAGTGGTCATCACCAAGGCAGGTCACATTGTAGGAGCTTTACGCTGTGAAAAATGCTTTTCATTATAGCATCTGCTTACAGAACATCTCAGTGTTTGACCATTTATGAAGTGTTTAACAGTCTACAACATTCTTTACCATTTCCAGAGATGTCCTTACAGCCACCTCAGGAAGGAGAGATAGTAAGTATTGTCACCTACACTTTACAAAGTAAAAGCTTGAAGCACAGAGGGCTAGAACTTCAGCACACATGTCTGTGCCTCAGTTTCCTCCTCTGTAAAATGGGGTGACAATATTATCTCCCTTTCTGAGGGGGCTATAAGGAAATCTCTGCAAATTGGATGAGCCAGGTCTCAAATGCAATCCTCCTGATTTAAGTCCAGCTCTTTGTCCCTCTGCTAAGGACCACAGAGGAGTGAGACCTCAGACCCTGGTTAAGCAATCCCGCCTTGGGCTCAGAGGGGGTAAAGGCGTCATCCAAAGTCACTCAGAAAAAAGTCACAGCATGAACTCTCAAGGTGGGTGGGGGGTCCTCATGGGATAACAGGATTAGGGTTAGACTACCCAGCAGAGCACTAGAAAATGTCAGATTTGGAGTCAAAAGCCCTGGGTTCAGATCTCCTCTCAGCCACTTATTGCTTGTGTGACCCTGGGCAAATCACTCCATGTCCTCATCTCTAAAACGAACAAGTTGAATTCAGTGATCTCCAAGGTCCCTTCCAATTCTATATATTAATGATTTGTAATCACTCTGGGACTCAGTTTCCTCATCTGTAAAATGGGGGGCAGTCCCTAAAACCCCTCTCAACCCTAGATCTATCCAACCATCTCTCTGAGCTTCGCTTTCCTCATCTGCAAAAGGAATGTTGGCCTTGGTTTTCCCATTTGTAAACTGAGTCATGATTGAACAAGATGGTTCACCTAAAGTCTTTCCCGATTCTAGATTTATGTTCCTGTGGCCTCTCTAGGCTTCAGGTTTTTCATCTGTAAAATGGAGAGGTTAGTTTAAATGGTCCCCAAAGCATCTTCTAGCTTTAATCCATGATGCTGTTATTATAATGGCACCCAAGCCCTAGTCCTGCACCAGCTGTCCAGTAGGGGGACAAAAGTCTTACACCTCCTAGGACAGGGTGTGTCCCTCCCATAGAACGTAAGCTCCTTGGAGGCAGGAATTGGTTCTTTTTTTTTTTTTTTGGTCTTTCTATCCCTGGGGCTGAGCCCAGTACCTGGCACACCACAGAAACTCACTGAATGTCTGTTCACTGAACTGGCTGAGCTATCAGAGGGGCCAGACCATGACCCAAGCAACGTCAGTAACAATAAAGACCACAGCAATAATGCCACCAAACTTTTGGTCTTGACCTAGGGTGTGAGAGCTCCAGGTGAGAAAATAAACTTCACTGAGGCAAAATAAAAACTCACCCAGAGCTAGAGTCCCGTCCAGTTAGCTGCCTACAGCATTACAAGGTTAAATGACTTATCCAGAGTCACAGCCTGTATATATTGGCAGTAAAATTAGAACCCAGGTCTTCCAGACTCTCAGGCTGGCTCCCTCACCACTGCTCCACCCTGCCTCCTTGTGGTGTAATAGTGGACATTTACATATCATGTACCTTGATACCTTATCACCTTGGCCCCCTGTGGCAATCACGGGAGTACAGGGATTATTATCTTCATTTACAAATGCAGAAAGTGAGGCTCTGGGCAGGTAGCTGACTTTTGTCCACAGCCAGACAGCTAAGAAGAAGCAGAGTTTGGTCTCTCTCTCTCTCTCTGTCTGTCTCTGTCTCTCTGTCTCTGTCTCTCTGTCTGTCTCTGTCACTCTCTGTCTCTCTCTGTCTCTGTCTCTGTCTCTCTGTCTCTCTCTGTCTCTCTCTCTCTCTCTCTCTCTCTCTCTCTCTCTCTCTCTCTCACACACACACACACACACACACACACACAGAAGATCATACATCTAGGGCTCAAAGGGACCTTAGAGACCTTCTAAGTTCAACTTCCTTATTTTACAGATGAGGAAATGGAAGCCCAGACTTCCTGAAGAATTCACACTCAGGTCTGGTGACTGAATTCAGCCCTCTTTCTACTGCACATCTCAACCCAGTTCTACCACAACTCTAAGCCCAGCCCACTTTATTGTCTCCCCACAGGTAAGGTTTCAAATGCCTCCTCTGTGTTATTACAGATAACCCTTTGTGCCTCACTTTCCCCAGCTGTAAAAATGAGGGAGTTGACTGGTTGATCTTCAAGGACCCTATGAAAAGAGCAGAGAAAACCTACGCACCGATAAATTCTGAGACACGCCACGTCCCAGCCAAAAGGAATCAGCGGGTGGCCTGAGGCTCCCATCTAGCCAAGGTTCGATCATGCTCAGAGATTATAATTAGCCATCCTCCTCCTCTTCCTTGGGAGACACAATACATCTCCATTTCCTGCCCCAAATGGCTATTACGGTCATTAGGAAAACGAGCCTTCTCTAAATGAGCCGAAGGTGTTTTAATAGCAAGTTGGATGGATGGCAGATATACAGAGACTAACAATGCCTTGAATCACATTTCATTTGAAATGCAAGCGTAGCCAGGCTGCGAGATGAAGTGATTAGTGCTGGGACACAGAGGAGTCAGCCCTAATGGACAGGGATGCCTGCAGTTTCAACTTGATAGGGTCAGAAGTTAAGAGCAGGAGTGTGACATGTCTAAGGTCAAACAGTCAGTGACAGGTGAGATTGGAACCCAGGTTTTCTTGACCCCAGGCCCAGAGTTCTATCCACTGAGAAATCTAGTGACCTTTGTTACGTCGGAGAGAAAGATCCCAGAGAAAGAAAGTCATTGCCTCCACACCAAAGGAGCCGATCTTGTGACTCAGTGCCCAGGAATCACTTTTCTATCTCAAAGACAGCCTAGGAGACCAAGATTCTAGCAGTGGCTTTGTAAAACTAGCTTGCTGAGTGGCCTCAGTTTCCCCCCTTTGTAAAATGAGGCCGTGGACTAGCTCTGTAAGGTCCCTTTCACCTCTGACATTCTCTCTGATATTCACACTGGCAGCACCCCCTGGCCTCTTCCTACCCCTCTGGAGTTACAGCAGCTGTGGTTGGCCAAAGGCACACAGGGACAAAATAGTACATTCGTCCAATGTGACAAGCATTTAGTGAGTCCTTGGGCCATATGTCAGATGCCATCCTTCTGCAAATACCCACCCTGTGGCAAAGCCCAGGTGGCCTTGTCTTGGTTACTGCTCCATTCCTCATCGAAGGCAGGGACTGGAGGCTCCTGTCTTTGTATCTCCAGCAATCAGCACCTAACACGTGCTTAATAGACATGGTGATTGACAGATGGATTTTCTGCACTTACATCTGTACGTTTCTGCCTCTTCCAATAGAACAGAAGCTCCCTAAAGGTCTGGAGTCTCCAAACTGTTTCACGTGGCTATATCCCCAGTGCCCAATGCACAGTCAGTACTTGATAATGGCTTGTTGACTTCTGTCCTAACCCCAGGATACAGCAAGAGGGGGATGTATGCTTTCTTGAGGGCAGGGGCCACTTTGTTTTTCTTTCTAGATCTATCACCTGGCACATAGTAGGCACTTAAGAAATGCTGGTTAGATGGTTGGTTGATTTCTCTTTGAAATAGTTCTCTTTGGCCACAGAATGTATATCCACATTATTAAAGATGGGATTCATCATGCTACAAAATGGTGTGAGTTCTACCTGTCATCTCTCTCTCTCTCTCTCTCTCTCTCTCTCTCTCTCTCTCTCTCTCTCTCTCTCTCACACACACACACACACACACACACACACTCCTACACACCTGCATATAGTACATATTTAAGGTGTCACCTGGAACATTGACAACATCCAGACTTGAACCCAGGTCTCCCTGAATCCAGGTACAGAACTCTAGCCATTACACCACACTGTCAGATGCAGATAGACAATCCTCTGCAACTCCAGAACCATAGAAAGTTACCCAGAGCACTGAGAGGCTAAGTGACCCACCCAGGGTCACACAGCCAGTACCTACAATTAGCAGCGTTGACATGGCGCTTTAAGGTTTAAAGCACTTTACAAATATGATATCATTCTGTCTTCACAACAATCCTGAGAGGTAGGCACTCTTATGATCCCCATTTTACAGATGAGGAATCTGAGGCAGGAAGAGGTTAAGTGACTTGCCCAGGGTCACACAGCTAGTAAGTATCTGAGCCTGGATTTGAACTCAGATCTTCCTGACCCCAGGTCCAGTTGTCAATCCACTATTCCATGTTACTTTTCCAGGACTACAAATAATTAACTCAATTCTTCTGAGCCTCTTAAGTTTCCTTATCTGTAAAATGAGACAGCTCTTTAAGACTCTAAGTTGAAGAGTAGGTGCTCATCTGCTCTGATGAAGGGAATTTCCTCACTGGGAGCTCCTTCCACCAGTGAAATCACAGGTCCAGTCGTTGTTAAGTTGTTTCACACTCATCATAACCCCATTTGGGGTTTTCTTGGCAAAGATCTTGAAGTGGTTTGGGATTTCCTTCCCCAGCTCATTTTGCAGATGAGAAAACTGAGGCAGACAGGGTGAAGTGGAGCTAAAAAGTGTCTGAGGCCAGATTTGAACTCAGGTCTTCTGGATTCCGGACCCAGTGCTCTATCCACTGTACTACCTAGGTGCCCCACAAGTCCAGTTCAAAATTCAAAATGGGGATTAAGACCCTTTCCTTATCCTAGCAATCATCTGGTACAACCATCTCCTTCAACAGGAAACTGTGAAACTAAAGAAACTGAGCTTAAGGGAAAGAGTCATCTAAGGTTGCTCATGTAAAAAAGTCACAGTGGATAGAGAACTGGACCAAGTCAGGAAGACCTGAGTTCAATTCCTGACACAGACACTTACTAGCCGTGTGACCATGGGCCAGTCACTTCACATCTTCCTGCCTCAATTTCCTCATCTGTAAAAGAGAGATAAGAGCACCTTATTACTAGAATAAAATATGGATGATAAATAAATAAAATACCGATAATAAGAGTATCTTCTGGTGTTCTAATGAAGATCAAATGAGATCACATTTGGGAAGCTCTTTGTAAACCTTAAAGCACTATGGAAATGTTAGTTATTATTATAGTTGTGGAAACTGAGGCTGAGAGAGAGGAAATAACTTGGCCAAGGTCACATAGTCACAGGAGCATAGTCTTGGAGCTGGAAGGGACTTGAGAAAAATCACCCCACAATCCAACCCCTTCCTTTCACACATGAAAATACCTGAGGCTCAGAGAGAAAAAGAGACTTATTCCAATTTACAACAGAAGAGGAAACTGAGGCACAGAGGGGTTGAGTGACTTCCCTGAGGTCATGAAGTTATTGGCAGAGCTGGGACACTGAACCAGGTCTCTTCCCATGACACTGAAGTTTTCCTCTCTCACTGTCTGTTCCCATATCCCCAGGAACTCACTCCATAATGCACCATACTCGCCACGGTCCCCGTGGTACTTGTCACCGATCAACCATCAGCTGTCACTACTCTTTCATAATCGTCCGGACCAAGCTCATTGGAAGCTTCATTCTGGTGGCCAGCACCTCTGAAATGGCCTGGCCACTCAGCAGCCTACATTTTTAGTGCTACAAAACACATCATTTCAGCTTTATGATTCCCAGTTCCAAAATGTCCATAAATATGATTCCAGCCACATCATCTCCTTTTAGAGTTAATGAAAAGCAAGGGAAGAAAAGCCATATTTAGTTGTTTTTTTCTCTCCTCCCCCCAGAATCCAAACAGGGTAGCTTTTTCCTCAGTCAGCTTCACTCTTGTCCCGAGGGAAACATTTTACAAGTTTCAATCTAAGCGGAAGCTCTTTGTTTCATTACGGAGAGACATTATCCGCAGAACGGTTCTCGTTTACCCAGTCATTGTTGCTGGAGAAGCAGACAGAAGAGGGTGTGTAGATGAACCCCAGAAGCAGGCCAGGACTGCTCAGCAGCTGCCATCCGGAGGTTCTGCTGGTCCCCCAACCCTGCCTGGACCTCCCTCCATGCCTCCCTTTGCACATTCCCAAAATACTCACCTTGTGGACTGCTGCAAGACCTGACTAGCGTTCAAGGCTGAGAGGTTGGGTTTGGCTTTCTGAATCCACCCACGAGGTCATAGCGCACAGGGTCCCTGCCCAGCTGGTGGGAGATCTCAAACTGCAGGCCATGCTCACACTTGCGGAAGGCAGGTGGTTCTGAAACAGGGAGACAGCCGCGACCAGTAGGAGAAAACATGTCCAGGGCTCGCAAGGTTGCCGAGTACTTTACATACAGCATCTCATTGGAGCTTGTGAAATCATTACTAGAGGTATGATAATACCCATTTCACAGACGTGGCAGCTGAGGTTGGGAGAGACCAGATAACTGCCCCAGGTCCATCAGTATCAATTTTGGAGACAGGATTTGTTCCCAGCCTTCTGGACTCCAAGCCTAGCACTCTCTATCCCCAAATCACTCTCACACAGAACTGAATTTCCTGGATAACTGATCACCTCTTCCTCTGCCAAAACTTCTTTAATTTTAACCATTTTAGGAAAATCTTTCTAAAATAGTTCACACTTCTAGAGCGCTTGGAAGTATTTAATCTAATTCATCATTTTACATGGAAGGAAATTGAGACCAGTGGAAGTTCAATGATTTACATCAGGTCTCACAGGCAGGATATGAGCCCCAGGTCCTCAGACCTATTCCTACTACACATCTCCTTTCCTTCTTAAATTGGCTGCTGAAGAGTACTCTGGTGTGGGGCCTACCTTCAGGGAGGATAAAGTCTACAAAGAACTAGACCAGAAACAAAGGAAGGATGAATGAATGAATGAACAAATAAATGAATGCATGCATGCATGCATGGATGAATGAATGAATGAATGAATGAATGAATGAAAAAGTATTACAAGTGCTCTATGTGGCAAGCATTGTGCTAAGACTGTAGGATGCAAATAGACAAAGATGGCCCCCGGTCTCAAGCAGTTCATGCTCTAATTAGGGGAAAAATAAGGGCTGTGGAGGAGGTTCGGGGAATTTTGTGTCACCCAAGCTTGAAACATCACAGTTGCCTGGGACTCTTCCTTTTCCCTTGCCTGCACAACATCCCTTGGCCCCACCCCCTTGGCCCCACCCCCCACAGCCACTGCCCCAGCTCTAAGTCTCATCCCTTCTCAGCTGGACCATTGCCCTCCCTTCCACACTGACTTCCCTGCTTCAGCCTCTCCCCTTTCTAATCTCCCCTTCTCACAGCAGCCCAAACAACCCACTTAAGCCGCAAGTTTGACCAGGGCCAACACTTAGCGTGGCACACAGTAGGTGCTTAATTAATGTTGATTGATGTTTTCAGCCTGTCCTTCAAGGCTTTCCTCTGATCTAATTAATAATAACAATACCAACAACAATAGCTAGCATGTATATGGTGCCTGCTATGTGCCAGTCACTGTGCTAAGTGCTTTACAATCATTATCTTGCTTGATCCTCACACAACCCTGGAGGGTAGGCTCATACAATCTACATTCTAGTCAGACTCATTATCCATGCCCCAGCCTTCCCCTTGGGCCTATCCTCCTCTCCTTGCATTCTTTCAGGTCTTCTTTCCTCCCCCACTCCATTTGCGTGCCTGGAATGTGCTCCCTCCCTCCTCATCTCCCTCTGAATTCTTTTCTTCCTTTGAGTTTCACTTCAGGTCCCCCTTCTCCAGGAAGCCTTCCCTGATTTCCACTGCTTGAAAGGGTTTTCTCCATCTTGAGATTTTCCTCAAGCACTCTTTCTGGCTCTTTCTTTTGTCTTCATTACTCGCTACCCGGTCTTATCCTTATTTTTATATGTGTCCTCCAGCTAAGTACACCCTCAATCTTCATCCTGGCCCAGGTGGTTCAGCAGAGCTGGAAAGATTTCAGGAATGGTTCTGGTGGCAGGCTGGATGTGTCCAAGGGCCCAGCTCGTGGCCCGAGGGGCCAGTCTACTAAGTTATTGGAGGGGGTGTGATCTTCCTCACAGCGTGAAGGGTAAAATTAAATTCGTGAAATTAAAGACCTGGGATATTTAAGTCAGTGCATGTATCCTGTCACCCAGTGGACTGTAAGCTCACTGGGGGCAAGAATAGTGTTGTTTTTCATTTTTGTATTCTAAGTGCTCACCACAGAAGTTGCACATAATAGGCAGATAATGGCTTAATTAAGGGGTGGGGAGGTGTAGGAATCAATGAAGGATGTGATTGTTAGAGAACAGCAGAATGCTAGTGATTTAAAAGATGCTGGAAGGTATTTTATATTCCTGTTGGATAGTTGTCTGGGACCAAGAGCTGAGTCTACACAAGGAGAAAAACAGCAAAAAAAAAAATCTTAGCCTTCTCCCATCTTTTGTTAACTTCCTGGCTGGAGACAGATATGCACTAAACTCATGCCAGCCTGCTCTGGTCAGGGAGAGGCTTGCTAGCCACTGCCTCTCGGTAGATACGAGCAGCAGCCCTGAAAAGCTGAAGCCTAGGAGCTAGCAGGGAGAAGCTCTGAAACTGGGATTAGGGAAGATACTCAGGGAAACAAGACGAGTGACAGACTCAATTCCCAGTAGGGAAGAGCTCATTGACATCACCAGAGGACATCAGCATCTCTGCAACATTGAAGATGTTACCTAGCTGTGTGACTCTGGGCAAGTCATTTAATCCCAATTGCCTCAAAAAAAGAAAAGATATTACCCTGTGCCCTCCACAAGTGGTCCCTGGTCACATGGTTTGCTGATGTGTTCCCCTTCAATCCTACTCCCTGCTTCTATGTCTGCCCCATGAGTATTCTTCCAATGTGTTTCCTGGTCACCACCTATGTCCTCTGCATGTGTGGTCTTCTCCACTAACCTGTGCGAGGCTGTACCATGTGTGTACTGGGGACCTTTTCTTGGCTTTCTGTTTTGTTTTGCCATGCTTTTTGAGCCAATGGCTCATGTGCTGAACTGGGTCCTCCAGATACTAATAAAAATTAACACACTCGTGTGGGCTCATGAGATACAGTGTTGAGCAAGTGTGGACCCACTTAATCCCTTGAACCTGCATGCAGTAACTTTTCTAGGGGCTTCCATGAAAGGGATCCTAGGGGACAGATGTATGAACAAAAAAAAAGTCAAAAACAGTGCTTATATAAGCCAGAGTATTTTAGGGAACTCCCATCAGGGGAGATTTCCAGAGACAAACTTGGGAAATGGGCTTCAAAGAGGTTTGAAATCACGCTGATACAAAGGGATTTAATGTGAGAACTCTGAGTGTCTGGCTTGATTCAGCTGCAGGGCTTCGCGGTGACTGGCCGACAGAATTTGCAGACTCTCTGGTCATCCTTTGGTTCCAATTTTCTTCAAAGCCTGCTCATGAGCTTGTAAACAATCACTTCTTATAATAGGGCCATCCTCTTCCCAGAGCTGGGAGGATACTCCAACCTGCTGCAGGCGGCTTGTGGAGATGTGATGGAGATTTGAAATGATGGGAGGTGGGAGGAGGACCCGGGTTAGGAGCCGTTCCCTGCCCCCCAGAGAATGCCACCAATTTCTCCATCCTTTAAGACAGTGCAGCCTGACTTTGTAGAAAGCACAGTGGGAGGAGGCTGGTGAGCTTGTGTGGCCTAGATGGGCACGCTAGCCACCGAGTAGGTGGAGGTGCTCAGCCACACAGGGGCTCCCTAGAAAGCCCTCTGCTCCCTTACAGGTGCACCTTGTTTTCCCAGGAATATTTCTACATGTTAATCAAATCCCTTTAACTGCCCTGGGGAGACTCAGTATTTATTGGAGCCCTGTGTTGTAAAGCAAAGAATTCTTTGTTAAATTGAATTGTTATCCCTGGGTGCATCTGTTCTTAAATCTGGCCATTTGTGGTAGCCTAGCTGAGAGTTATGGGCTGGGAGTTCAGGATTCAAATCTAACCTCAGAAACATATTTGCTGCGTGAACACCAATAAGTCATTTAGCTTTTCTGAGCCTGTTTCCTTATCTGCAAAATGGGAACACCATATCTGTAGCACCAACCTCTCCTCTGCCCAGGGGTGGTACGAGGCCCCAATATATGTAAAGTGCTTCACAAACCTAAAAGATGTGTAAATGTCCATTATTATAGCAAGTGCTTGCTTTCAGGCTTCCAAAACATTTTGTATATCCTATCTCAGGTTCTCTCCTCACAATCACCCTGCCAGGGAGGTGCTCTTATCACCTTTTTCTTCCAGAAGAGGAAACTGAGGTTTTGAGAGGTTAAGTGACTTCCCCGAAGCCACACAGCCCAGAGACACTAAGTAAGCATGCAAGGCACGATTTGAACCCAGGACCCTGTTCAACCAAAGTCAGGCTAGCTGCAATCATCATCAGCCTCCTTAAATGCTATCTGACAAAGCTTCCATTTGGGCTGACTTTGGAGCTATTAATAACTAGTTATTTTCTCTGTATCAATAAACAAAAGGAAGTGGGGTACATCCTCCTCAGAGCCCAACACCCAAGTTGGCTCCACAAGGGACAGTCCTTCCTCAGACCTGAGGCTGACCCTAAGAGAGCAGACAGACCACTCTGGCACCTCCGGCCATCATTAAGTGTAACTGAATTCAGCCCTCCTGGCTGGGCCGGATCTCCCCATGCTGGCACTTGGCTGAGCCCATGGCCCCTCTGCAATATCATGGGGCCTCAGAGTGTGACGTCAGTGGAACTACATAGGATATAAATCCCAGCCTCCTTACTCCTCCACTCAAAAAGCCTCAGCGCTGTCCAGCATTTAAACCTGTCCTTGGCTTGGGAGTTTGAAGTTGACCCTGGATTCAAGTCTTGGCTATAAAACTCCCTGAGAGACTATAGTCAAGTTGCTTAATCTCTCTCAGCCTGAGTTACCTCATTTGTCAAATGGTGGGTTAGGAGTCCATGGCCTCTGAGCTCCCTTCCAGCCCTGGAGTTGGGTCCTACGTCTTTGTACAATCTTTCCATTTCACCATCCTGGTAGAGACAGCTGTGCGGTGGTGGGCTCAGAGTCAGGAAGACCCGGGCTTGAATCCCACCTCTGACACTAGCTGTGTGATCACAGACAATTCACTTCCCCTCTCAGCCTCAGTTTCCTTCTCTGTAAAATGGGGATAACAATATTTGTCACACAGAGCTCAATGAGCTGTCAATCAATTTGTTAATTGGCTTTTTGATTTATTAAGGGCCTACCACATGCCAAGCACTCCACTAAGTGCTTTAAATATTTAAATGTCTCCTTCGAGCTTCACAACAGCCCTGACAGATAGATACTATTACTGTCCCCATTTTATACATGAGGAAACTGAGGCAGACAATGGTGAAGGGATTTGCCCAGGGTCATATAGCTAAAGAAGTGTCTGTCTAAATCTTCCTAACTCCAGGTCCAGTGCTCTATCTACTGTGCCACCTGCCTACCTAAAGCTTTGGAAACCTGATAGTGCCTCGCAAGTGGTCAGTGAATGATTTCAACTGTATGAATTAAAACAATGAATGAATGAATGAATGAATGAATGAATGAACAAATGAATAACGTTCTCTAGAAATGATGCCAGCTAATAATCATAGTTCTGCCCGGTTTCTCCCGTGCTCTCTTACCATCAGCACCAGCTTCCTTCTTCTCAAAGGCTAAACACAAGCGATCCATCACGGCACTGTCACCAGAGCCCTCGATCCGGACCTCTTCATCCAGGACCCAGAGAAGGCCTTTGGGTTCCTCCGCTTGGCCCGCAACTGGAACGCACACCTGGGAGGGAGACATCACCACTCAACCATTCTGAGAGAGTCTGGGGATCAGGCTGCTCCCCACGGATTGGGTCTAATTCTTCCTCCATCCTACCAGGAGAAGAGCAGGTGGTGATTTGCACTCCTGAGCATCAGGGCTAAGAGTTTACCCTCTCCAACTTATGTCCCTCACTTTCTTTCCAAAATCATTTATGGATTCATCACAGGAGGACAGCCTTTTGCAATGTTCAGAGCTCTAGATCACGGGGACAATTCTCATAGCCAAATTTTCTCCAGGGACACTCCATTTCCTTAAAGCTTAAGTCACTAAGGGATGAACGTTGAGATGTGAGGCTTTGCAATGATCTTCCCTCAAAATATAAGGTCAACTGAGTCAGTAGAAAGTTATAAACCCAGAGACAGTGACCAGCCCACTCACCAAAAGGATAATTAGCTATTTTTTTTAATTAAAAAAATCCAGGCTTTTTAAAATATCATTTTCATTTCCAAATATACTCCCACCCATGTCCCATTCAGGGAACCATCTCTTGTAACAAAGAATTAAAAAGAAAGAGGGAGGAAAAAAAGCAGTGCAGCAAAAATTAATCAACTCAGCAACTGAGTCTGAAAATCTATGCAATACCAAAGGCAGTTTGAACGTTAGCAGCATCCCCAACAGGCTTCTGCTTCCCATCTTTCCCTTGGCTTCCTCACCAGACTCAGTCTGGACAAAATCTTGAGTCACTCTCCCAAGCCAAATGAATGGAATCTGGCCCAATGGCCCAAGTAACAGATGTAGTCAAAGATCTCGAGCTTTAGAGCTGGAAGGAAGCTTAGAGGTCACCTAGTCAATTTTACGAATGAGGAAATTGAAGCCCATAGAGTCTGTGACTTGCCCAAGGTTACATGGGTCAAGTCAAAGCTAAGATATGGTCCCATTTCCTCTGATCACAGACTCCTCATGATGCCTCATGACACTCTTTCCACAGGAGCCCCACATTCTTTTCTTCAAGTAAAATAGTGTCTCCTCTGAGAGGAAATTTTATTTCGAAGCAGTGGAAAAGCCATGATTCACAGAACTGAAATTCAAGGCACGGCAAAGATCAGGCAGCACAAGAGAGGGGAGAATGAATTACATTAGCAGAGTTTCAGCAAACTGAAAGAGAGTTGGAGAAGAGCAATGAAAATGTCAAGTAGGCAAAAGAGATTGATGGACAGTGGAAGACTTTAAATTGGCAGCTTAGCCAACCGTTGCCTAAAGGAAAGCTGACACTGTCTCCAGGAAACCTCGGGTTCTTCTAGGGTGCCCTGGCAAGCAGGGAGAGGGGAGAGGGGAATTTCTGTATCATTTGCTGGTTATAAATGAATGAGAAAAAAAAACCAAATGAATGAGAAAGCATTCATTAAGTGCTCAGTACACACCAAGCATTGGGCTTAGCATTGGGGGTATAGGTGGAGGAGCAAGAGGATTCTTGCAAGATTCTTGGCTGGAGAGGGTATGCGTCCACTGGGCAAAGGTAGGCAGAAAGAAATGCCACCTAATATGTCAGGCATGATCAAGACCCCAAGATAGAAAGAGAGCGCCCTCCGATGCTTTGGTTCCATTGCTGCACCCGTGAGGAGAGGGGTCCCATGCCAAGAGAGATAATATTTATACACCGTGCACATGTGTGCACAGCGGGGAAATGGCCCCAGGACGGCTTTAATGGACACCAGGCCCACCCACTCAATTGCATCATTTGTCACAACCGTCACCAATGCAGAAAAACTGACAAATAGCAGCCACAAGAATTGGGACCCATGATGCTCAACCCTCTCACCTGGGAGAGATTCTGGTCGATGATTGCCACTGTGGTCCTTGGGGAGAGCTCTGGGAGATCAAAGGGAACCACCACCTTTTCCTGGAAGACAGGATTTAAGAGTCAACTACCTCGCAAAACCTCTGAACACCTGGTAAGAGTAAGCGACAACTTCTGGAGGACATCAAACGCACGGCTTTCTTTGTCTCCTTGACTTTCGTGTCAAAGCTCCACCATGAGACATTTCTGAATGTGCCCCATCCAAGCCCCCCAACACTGGGAGCCCCAAATGGCCACATGAGCCTGTGAAAACTTCCTCCCACGCCCCCACCCGCCTTCCATCTTTGCTAGCCCAGCTCCATCATCACCTCCCTCTGAGGCCACCCACCCCAGGGGAAATGAAGCTTTTCCTTCTCAGGCCTCAAAGAGATCAGAGCTTCCTTCGTACCTTTCCTGGGTCATTGCAGTGGGCCCTGTTGTTTGTTTCTTCATTGTTGGCATGAGTGCCACCTTCCATCCCAGTTTGCTCTACATGACAATGTAAGCTTAATAACACTAGTAATAATTTGTGGAGAGGCAACATGGACAGCCTGGTGTTGACCCTGGTTAGAGTGCTGAGCTTGAAGCCAGGGAGTTGTTATTCAGTTGTATCCGACTCTTTGTGACCTCCATTTGGGGTTTTCTTGGCAAAGATTCTAGAGTGGTTTGCCATTTCCTTTTGCAGCTCATTTTACAGATGAGGAAACTGAGGCAAACAGGGTGAAATGACTTACCCAGGGTCACACAGCTAAGTATCTGAGATCAGATTTGAACTCATGAAGATGAGTCTTCCTGATTCCAAGCCCAGTACTCTATGCACTATGGCGCCCCCTAGCAGCCCTAACTCCCACATAGGAAGGGCTTTACGCGTTCCGGCTACAAAACTCCATTTAAAGGCATGGGTCAAGGGGATATTACAGCAGTCAGGTGCCCTGGGCAGATCCTTCCCTCCCCAGGAAGTTTCCCCAATCCCCACCCCAGACCCAGTTTTTGGAACTCTGCCTTCTCCAAAACCTTTCATTTTCTTACCTGCGTACACGTTCTATCCTCCCAGTAGGATGTAAGCCCTTTGAGGTCAGGGACTGTTTTTAGCTTTGTTTTTGTGTCTGTAGGGCCTAGAGCAGTATCTGACTCAGAGTAAGTGCTTCAGAAATGCTTAATGGATGTGTTCTTAAGTCTCAAAGAGCCGCCAAGAAATGACCCCAGCTCCTGGCCACACTCTCCTCCTCCATCCTCTCAGAATCCCAAGGCAAGCTGGGGAGCCCCCGAGGTCCCAGGCTTACTAGGCAATTCTAGCATACTTGGTTTGATTGGCCTCACTGGCCCTCATTTGTAAAGGCCTAAACCAACCTTGGGCAATTATTTCTTACAGACAGTACCCTTACTGAACTTGACTTATGCTTAAAAAGGATTGTAATGTGTTTGAAAACTACCTTTGTCCTCTGGCAAGTAAGCACTGACTTTGTACCCCAAAGGTGCAGGGGATTCCTAGGGGATATGACGAGGGCAATGGGGAGTCAAGTGGCTTTTTCTTGAGCACTTACAAAATCTCCACTGAGATAAATTAAGGCAGGAGGGCCACCTGGGAAGCTGGCCAAAGATCCCAGCCCTCCCAGGGCTCTATAAAGGTGTTCCCTCGATCCTGGCACCTGCCTTTTCAGGGATCCCATGCACTGTGGGGGCTTTACCAGGCAGACTGGCTGCCTGCCCACAGCTCTCACTTGCAAGGCTGGAAGGACCCAAAGAGACAGAGCAGGAGGCCATGACACAAATTTGGATTCAGAAAGAGTCTTCCTGTTCAGAGGCTAACCAAGTGGAAAAAATCCACACAGCACTGAACAAACAGCTCCTTAACCAGCCATGCTGCCATCCTCAATGCCTCAAACCATGGGCACGTCTCTTTTTCCTCTGCTTTCTTACATCAGGAATTAACTCAACCCAAGGTCTCTGCTCGCCCCAACCTGGGCCACGCCAAGCCCAGGGCTCTGGTATCGATTTAAAAAACACATCCGTTGGCTGGCTGAATATATAGGGTAGAACCATATTGTGGAAAATCTTAAAGTGGGGCAGAATACGCTGTAAGACAGGCTTGATATACAGTAAGTTGGCTTTGCTCAACTATTTTTTTTCTCATTTACAAATAACAATTCACTGTTGGAAAATGGAAGCCAGGTACATCTAGAGATAATTGTGATTTAAAAAAATGGCATCAACTAATTTTTTTAATTGGACAGAGTAAGAAAAGAGTTTGATGCCATAAGTAATAGGGAGCCATCATATATTTTGAAGGGAGTAGCGCTCAGCATTCATTCCACAAACATTTGCTTGGCACCTACTATATGCCAACTTCTGGGAATACAGAGGGAAAAAGAAATGATCCCTTGTCCTCAAGGAGCACACATTCTTTTGGAAATGGAGTTTAAGAAGAACTTGATGCCAGTGACAAGCTTTCCACTCTTCCTCTAAGCTCGTCCTTTCAGGAGGGCATACTTGAAGACCCTCTGTGTCTTCCAGGGGCTGGTGGCTGAGGGGCTGCCCAGGACCTCACCTCCCCATACCGCTCCAGCTCTGACTCAAACTTCTTTTGGAAGAACAAGGTCTGCAGCCGCTCGTGGACGTAATTGTGGCAAAGCTCCTCAAAAGTGGCCGCCCGCTCTTTCTTCTGGTGCCGAGGGTTGTGGAAGCCTGGGCTGTCCACCACCATGATGGAGAACATGGAGAGATGGCTGGAGGCCAAGGACCTAGGGGAAGAGGAGGGAGGGAAGTGTTAGCAGGAACATGGAGGCAGCCATGGCCTCCACCATCGCTCTGGCAGAGGGAGCTTCCCCAGGGCCTGAGGACTGGCCTCTCCCAGGTCCTTTCTGGTTCACTTCGACTTCTGCCAGGACTGTGCTGGGAAGCTCCCAGGCAAGGGATGGAGTCAGTCAGTCCTGAGAAGGCCGCTGGCTGGGAGGCTTTAGCCCTCCCTGCTACAAATTTGGCCCTTGCGAGGCAATAACCAGCCTTATTTCTAAGCTCAGCCATCAGTGGCCCTGGCTATGCTTATCCCAATTCTTCTCCCCTGGTACTTGGATCTGGGAGGAGGAGAGGGTGAGCCCAGCTAGTCCCTTGTAAGGGGATGCTCTCCAAACTGCTTGGGGCATGATAACCCAAGAGTAAGGGCACAGGGAGCAGGATACCCATTTTACAGGACAGCATAATAAAGTCAGAACAAGCAGATGTTTGGAAAGCCTCTTAAGTCTGGCAGAGGTCTTTACAGATGTTATCTTGTTTGAGCCTTAGGACAGCCCCACAAGGCAGGTACCAAAGATCCGGAAGGTAGGGAGAGACATAGCACCTGTGATTGCAACTGAAGCAGCAGGGAGGCACGGCACATAGAGCACCAGACTTGGAGATGGGAAAACCCGAGTTCAAATCCAGCCTCAGATATCCATGAGCTGTGTGACTCTGGGCAGTTTGCCTCAGTTTCCTCATCTATAAAATGGGGATCATAATAGCGCCTGTCTCTCAGGATTGTAGTGAGGATCAAATGAGATAAAACATACTTAGAGCCTTTAAAACCTTCGAGTGCTATAGAAATGTTATTTGTGGTCATTGCTCCTGGAGTTTACCAGGGTCAGCACCAAGAGGCCACAGAATAGATGCCAAAGGCAGGACTCAAACCCGAGCTTCCTAGCTCCAAGATGGGTCTCTGGTCACATCATGTTTCCTCTCTGCAACAGATTCCTATGGCATGGGCCCATTTCACAGGCAGGGAGAGGAAGGAGTGTGTCCATTGTCATACAGTGAGGTGGTCCGAGTCCAAGATTTTCCTCTGCCTCCCACAGGGAGCCTGTCAATAAACATGTCCTGTATGTCCTTTCCCCTCTCTGGGCCTCAGTTTCCTCCTCTGGAAATGAGCAGGTTGGACTAGATGACCTCTAGGGTTCCTTCTCTGTAATGATCTGCTCCTAGGCTCTCTGCCAGGGATCTCTCCAGAGACTGCTCTAGAACTGGCCCCCAGGCAAGGCTGTGTTGTTTTTTCTGTCATTTTTCAAGCATGTCCAACTCTTTATCACCCCATTTGGCAGTTTTCTTTGCACAGATACTGGAATGGTTTGCCATTTCCTTCTCCAGTTGATTTTTACAGATGAGGAAACTGAGGCAAACAGGGTTAAGTGACTTGCCTAGGGTCGCACAGCCAGTAAGTGTCTCAGGCTGGATTTGAACTCAGAAAGATGAGTCTTCCTGATACCAGGCCTAGCGCTCTTTGCACTATGGCGCCACCTGGCGGCCCAGGCAAGGCTGTATCATGGGCCTGGGCACGGCCAATGTACAAAGACAGCCAGTTTCCTCAGGCTCTCCCCCACTGACCTGGATTCAGCCAAGCAAGCCTGCCCTTCTAGAAAACAACTCATGTTTCTTTTCTCCTCCCATCCCCATGACTCATCCGTCCTGCCCTCCACTTTCTCAGGCCTTTGTTCGACACTAAGCGACCAACTTTTTAGTCATCTTACCTGATGACTTAACAGATCATCAGGGTTGGGATTCATCACCACATATACAAACACGGAAGAGAGTCAGCCTGAATTCTACTGGATGATAATAATTATAATAAGCAACAAACACCAATAGGTCTAGCCATCAGAAAATATGGGTTCAAATAACTGATATTTATAAGGTCCTTGTATGTTGAAGTCATTACCTCACAGAGACCCTAAGAAGTGGATTGTACAAGCCTCCTTCTCCTCGCTTTACAGATGTGAAAATGGAGCTGCACAGCTGTAGAATGTTGGAGGCAGAACCAGAGCCCAGGTCTCCTGCTCAAAGACAGCCCCTGGTCCACTGTATCACACTGGCTCGTTGAGGCTGCTTGGAGACAGTGGCCTAAAGCAGATGGGTGGTACAGTGGTATTCCATTGGGGGAATTCCAGGCACCAAGGCAAGCCAGTAAGGAAAATGTTTTGAGGGGGGCAGGCCTACCATCACCCCTCGAATCCTAGCTGTCATTTCTAGGTACGACATGGGCCATTTGAGATACCCAGGCTTCTCCTCTGGTTTCTTGGCCCAAGGCCAAGCTTACCTCATTGAAGGTGTGTTTCTTTCCACTATAATGAAGTTCACCCTCCAAACCAAGCCCTGAGAGCAAACTCGGCCTCATCCGCGCATTTCTGAATTTCTACATTTTTCATCAGTTTGTCAGGACAGGGAGGTCACAGTACTCGGACTCAGGTAGCAACAAGCTGCATCTCCCAGTGTGAGCTCCTGGACAAGAGGAATTCTAGCACAGGAGACCTCAGTTCAAATCTTGGTTCTACTATGTGCAATGTGTATGACCTTGGACAAGTCATTTCTCTCTGTGTCTTAGTTTCTTTCCTTAAAAATGAGAGAATTGGGTGAATGAAACCTAAGGACACAGGATCTGTTCCATATCAAAGAGGAGGGAAACTGAGGCCCAGAGAAGGGAATTGACCTTCCCAAGATCACTCAGCTAGTAAATAGCAGAGCTGAGATAGGTGGACCATGCTTCCAAAACCAATGTTCTGCTTACTAGCCCACATTGACCCAGCTTACTAAATGAATGAATGAATGAATGAATGAATGAATGAATGAACAGAAAAATGAGCACATGAACAACTGAATCTCTGTTGTCCTAAAGGACAATCACCAGCCCCAGGGAGAAGCCCTCCGTGGACAGCAAAGCCCTCGGAAGGTGATTCTACTGATGCATCTTTGCAGCCTCTGACAAATGCTATGATTTGGAAATTGTGTTCCACACTCCCAGTGATTTACCTCCAGTGATTTCCCAGCAGCTCGACAGAAACAGCAGCGTCTCCATGACTTTGTTGAAACATATGTTTTCTGGCCTGACATGCTGGATCACTGTCAGAATTACTTAAAAGGCTAGAATGGGCCAGTGCCGAGGACATCGCCAAAGTAAAGGCATCCTCCTGGCCTGGCCTTGCAGCCTCCACCCTTGGGAACGTGGATGTAAAACCAGGCCACTTTCCTCTAAGAGAAAGTCACGGCTGAGTGGTCTGTAATGGGCCCCGGGGCAAGCTGGGGCAGAGGAGAAGAAAGAACACAGCCAAGGAAGCTGGGCTGTGACCCCTGACTCTATCTGGGATGTGCTGTGTGACCTTGGGGAGAATCACTGCTCTCTGGGATGCAATTTTCTTATCTCTTAAATGGGCATTTTAACACTTGTTCTACCTCCCTGTGGAAACTTTTATTAAATTTGAAGAGAGTAATAGAACCAGAGGCCAATAGAGGGAGGGGTACAGGGATCACAGCCTCTTTACCAACCAGCAGCTACCATGATATGTGTGTGTTGGGGTTTTTTTTTTGGGGGGAGCAGAGACAGAGAGAGAGAAGAGAGAGAGAGAGAGAGAGAGAGAGAGAGAGGGAGGGAGGGAGGGAGAGAGAGAGAAAGAGAGAGAGACAGAGAGACAGAGAGAGAGAGAGAGAAAGAGAGAGAGAGAGAGGGAGGGAGGGAGGGAGAGAGAGAAGAGAAGAGAGAGAGAGAGAGAGAGAGAGAGAGAGAGAGAGAGAGAGAGAGAGAGGAGGGAGGGAGGGAGGGAGGGAGGGAGAGAGAAAGAGAGAGAGACAGAGAGACAGAGAGAGAGACAGAGAGACAGAGAGAGAGACAGAGAGAGAGAAATTGAGATATAGGTAATAGAAAGAAAGAGGAGAAAGAATGGTCAGGTAGTAAGAGGAGATGGGGAGAACAAATGGCTGGACCATGGTACCCATAAGATACTCAAAAGGCCCCAGAGAAGGCATCTGGCTCATTGAATGGATTGTCTAGTGAGCAGATGTGGGAGGACACAGATAAGAACGAATCACACATGATGAGAGGGAGTAGATGGCTGGTGTCTGCATGGGCAGAGGGATGACCCACACCCGGCAAGTTCCCAGAGCATCTAGAGAAGAAAGCACTATGGAGATGAAAGGCGGAATGCGGGGGAGAGGCATTATTACAACAACTATCACTACACAGGAGATTTGGAGGGAATCCTTAGTCCTCCAGTAACATCTTTTGGTCCTGTTCTTCTTTGCATTGGGTTGGGGGCTTTGGATTGGACCTAGCATTTCACTGGCATAGAGAACTCCCAGGGCAGGAAAGACTCTCCACCAATGCAGGTCAGCACCTACTCAGAACCTCTATTGTTAAGGAGTGCCAAGAGTGCTCAAAGATGTGACTTGCTCAGGGTCACAGAGCCTATCTGGATCATGTGTGGGACTCAAGTCCAGGTCTTCTTGGTTCTGAGGCCGGCTTTCTTCTCAATAGTCAACCCTGACAGGCATAGGTCATATATTCTTTATATATATTCTATATTTATTTCAAACAAGATAGTATTTGTAAAGGGTCTTGCCAACCCTCAAGCACTACATAAATGCTATTTAGTATTATTATTGGTAGTAGTAGTGGTCGTATTTATTTTGTTATGTATTATTTATCTATTTATTTGTATGATTAAATATATTGATATATTATTAATATTGTTATTTTATTACTACTTAGTATTCACTTATCAGTGTTGCTGTGGCCCCATCTTCAGTAGAATATAAATTTCTTGAAGCAGGAGCTGTGTGACCATTTCATCTCTGTGGCCCCGGCATCCGACAGAGGACCCTGAACATAGTAGGTATTTAATAATATTGAATTGAATTGAATTGGCCCTTTGGCAGAAGGAGACAAGGACCTACCCAGAGGGGTAATAGAACATGCACTCATTTGTGTATCTAGGAATTCCTCAATTGAATGGAAGCTCCCTGAGGGCAGGGGCTGTTTTCATTTTTCTCTCTGTTGTGTCACCAGCCAGCGGGTGCCCAGCTCAGAGAAGGCACAGAAGCATTTCTTGGACTGAATTCCAAAGAGTGCCTCAATAACTCAGTGGATGATGCCGAGTGAGCAGCAGTGTACAGACCTAGTGCTTGCCTGCCCCCAGGGAGCACAAAGATGCCCAGAGGCTCCCAGACCAGTGGACTCCACACCCAGCCCCTCTCCAAGGCACCCTTGGGTGCCCTCAGCTCAGCTTTCAGGGAAGATCAAAGGGGCTTAGGAGGAAGCCTGATTCTTCCATTCCTTTAGTTGCAACTATACAGCAACAATAATAATATCAATTACAAATAGCTAACATGTATCTATAGCACCTACTGTGTGCCGGGCACTGTCTAAGTGGTTTTTACAAATAGCATCCCCTTTGAGCCTCGCATCAATCCCAGGAGGTAGGTGCTATTACTATCCCCATTTTACAGATGAGGAATCAAGGCGTGCAGAAGTGAAGTGACTTCCCCTGGGTCACACAGCTAGTAAGCATCTGAGTCTGGATTTGAATTCAGGTCTTCCTAACTCCAGGCCCCATGCTGTATGCCCTGCCCTATCTAGCTCCCCCTGTAAAGGCCCCAGACCCTGGTGAAGGAACAGGAGCATTGCCAAATGCAGCCTCCATACCTGTTGATAAGCGAGACGATGACTGAGAATAGTTCTTCATAGAGGCCCGAAGCCATCCCTTGCACACACTCCACACCTGTCATTTTGGGCCCTGCAACAAACAAGAGAAGAAGGGATAATTCCAGGGATGACCTCACACCCATTCGTTTCCAGCTTCAGCTCCAGTGAAGTCCCCCCATGTACTCAACACTCTGGCCTAACTCTACTTCTTGCTATACCTTGAACACACCCTGCAGTTTCCCATCTCTGAGCCTTTGTTCTTGCTGTGACCTGTCTTATGTCTTTAGTGCCCTTCCCTTTCCACTCACCTTTGACTGTGAATTCCTGCCCATATTCTTGTTGGTTTTTTACTCTGATTTAGCGCTTCGTGACTGACAAAGGCCCAATAGAGGTAGGTATCATCATTACAATTTAACAGAGAAGGAAAATGTGGCCCAGGGAGGGCGTATGACAGCAGAGCAGGGCGCCAACTAAAGCTTTTAGCTTCACGTCAGAAGGATCATTTCCATCACACTCTCAGGGTTAAAAACAATGGGGAGGAGTGGAAGAACCATGACAAAGAGAGAGATGAATTTAATTCTATTTAGAGGACAACACATCACATGACAGAATGGATTGGAATTAGAAAACTAAATGTATCAAAAGGGGCCCTAAAAACGGGAGCTAGCACACAGAGGAAGGGGTTGCCTTGGGACATAGGACATGAGCTCTTTGGAAGCCGGGATTGCTTCATTCTTCACATTTGTATCCCCCTGGTTAGCACAGAGCCTGATACTATGTAGGTGCTTAATGAATGTCTGTGTAGATTGACTGATTGGGGTAGCAAGTTTCCTCTCCCTGGAGGTCTTCAAGCAGATACTGGATGTCTCTGTGTTAAGGTTGCTGCAGAGAGCATTCATGGTCAGCTCAATGACTGTGGTGGTGTGGTGATGGTGGTGTTAGTTATGGTGACAGTGATAGTTGGTGGTGGTGGTGGTCATGGTGATAATGGTGGTGGTAGTGATGGTGATGGTGGTGATAATGGTGGTGGTGATGGTGATGGTGGTATTAATGATGGAGGGTGGAGTGCTGCTGCTAATGGCGGCAGTGGAGACCTTCACTCTCATACTCCTCTGGGGCCTCATCATAGTGTGAAAAGTTAGGCTTTATGGGCAAAGCTTCTCTAAGGCTCTGCCTATAAAGTGCAGCCTTGGCCACGTCCTACCAAACTAGAAAGGATTCAAATATGAACCCAGAAACATATATTTGTTATCTGAGGCCTAACCTAGCTAATGTCAAAGAGACTCATCACCACACTGACCACAATATAGAGAATGTTTTGGTCCTACAGCTCACAAAGACCTTTTCATAAGGAGCAGGTTCTCTGTTGGTGAAATGAGGACCCACAATGATGAAATCATGACTTCTTCAAGAATCCAAGTCTGAGTATTATTGTATTCATCTAAAATCCCAATGAACCAAAAGAGAAAACCCATGGGTTATTCCAGTATAGATCAGTATAGATCATCTTTTGTTACTGAAAATCATCGTCAAAACTCAGAGCTAGAAAAATTACCTAACAAGTCTATGGATCAGAGAAGATTTCATGACCAAGCTAGAAACTGGGAGGTTCACAGGAGGTAAAGTGGATAATTTTGATTACACAAAATTAAAATATTTTTTTGTTTATAGCAGATCTTTTTGTGGTGGCAAAGAATTGAAAACTGAGAGGATGCCCATCCATTGGGGAATGGCTGAACAAGTTGTGGTATATGAAAGTAATGGAACACTAACTATTGTGCTATAAGAAATGATGAACAGGCTGACTTTAGAAAAACTTGGAAAGACTTGTATGGTCTGATGCTGAGTGAAGTGAGCAGACCCAGGAGAATGCTGTACATAATAACAGCCACGTTGTGTGATGACTAATATTGATAAACTTAACCCTTCCCAGCACTACAAGGATCTAAGACATCTCCAAAGGCCTTATGATGGAAAATGCTATCCACAACCAAAGAAAGAGCCATGGAGTTTGAATGCAGATTGAAGCATACTATTTGCTATTTTTTTTCTTCTGTTGAGTTTTGTTTCCTCTTTCTGGTGGTTCCTCCTATTGGTTCTAATTCTTACAACATCACTAATGTAAAAACATGTTTAATAGGAATGTAGATGTATATACTATATCAGATTGTGCGCTGTCTTGGGGAGGGTGGTGGGGAGTGAGGAGAAGAAAAATTTTAAACTCAAAAGCATATGGAAGTGATTGTTGATAAATCAAAATAAATTAATTTTTAAAAAATTTTTAAAATTATAATGTTTTTGCACAAACAAAACCAATGTAGTAAAAATTAGATGAGAAACAGGAAACTGGGGGAAAATCACAACAAATTATTCTGATAAAAGTCTCACTTCTCAAACACGCAGAGAACTGAGTCAAATTTAAAAAAACAAGAGCCATTCCTCAATAGATAAATGATCAAAGGGTATGAACAGACAGTTTTCAGAAGAAGAAATTAAAGCTATTAATAGTCATATGAAAAAATATCCTAAATCACAAATAATAAAATAAATGTAAATTAAAACAGCTCTAAGGTAACCACCTCATACCCATTAAACTGACTAAGAGGACAGAAAAGGAGGAGATGTGGAAAAGCAGGGGCACCATGCACTGTTGGTGGAGTTGTGAACCAGTCCAGTGATTCTAGAGAACAATTTGGAACTATGCCCAAAAGGCTATAAAACCATACATACCCTTTGACCCAACAATATCCTTACTAGTATAAACCCCAAGGAGATCAAAGGAAAAGGAAAAAGACCCATACAAGCAAAAATATTTATAGCATCTCAATGGCAAAGAATTGATGGAGATTGGAGAATGTCTGAGCAAGTTGTGCTATATGATTGTGATAGAATACTATTGTACTATAAGAAATGATGAACAGGGTGGTTTCAGTAAAACCTGGGAAGACTTATACGAGCTGATACAAAGTAAAGCAAGCAGAACCAGGAGGACATTGTACACAGTGATAACAATATCGTAAGCATGATCAACTATGGAAGACTTAGCAACTCTAGTCAATACAATGATCGCCACAACTCTAAAGGACTCATGAAGAAACATGCTATCCATCTCCAGATAAAGACCTGATGGACTCAGAGGGCAGAATGAAACATGTTCCCCTTTCTTTATTTTTCTTGTTTTTTATAAGGTTTTTTTTTGGAACATAGCTAATATGAAATTATGTTTTATATGACTTTATATATACAATTCAATTAGGTAGCACATTTCTCACCTTAATAGGTGAGAGAGGAGTGGAACGAGGGAGAGAATTTGGAACTGAAAATAAAAATGATTTCTTTTTTTAAAGAATCTCTGATCCAAAAGGGACGTTCAGAGTGCTTTTAGGCCAATCAGGACCTCACCAAGAATCCCATCTCCAGAAGGGGTCCTCTGGCCACTACTTAAAGAACCCCAATGGGAGAAGCCCAGTCACTCTCAAGGCAGCCCGTTTTACTTGAGGACAGCCCTATTGGGTAGGAAGGTTTCTTGACATTGAGCCTAATCTTGCCTCTGCAATTGCTATCCAGAGTCCCAGCTTCCGCCTTTCAGAAAAGGGCTAATCTCTGCTCACATGACAGCCGTTTCACCTACCTGAAGACAGTGACTCTGTCTCCCCTAATAATACTTCTCTTTGATTATACTTTCCAAAGTCACTTAGAGGTTAAAAGCCTGGATTGCCTTGATTCTCCCTTAGTGAGCTACCATCCGTCCCAAGCTAGCAGTCAATGGATTATAAAACATAGTGAAACCAGTGTTTGGGCTGAAATCCCTGAATCTTGATCCCTACATTCCCCTCACCAAATGCCTGTGCATTCTCAATACTACACACACATTCTAACTCAAGAAGCCACATTGCTGGGACATTCTAACATTGCTCCTGTATCTCAGGAAGCATTTCTCGTTCTTGCTTTAACCCCAGAACCTGATGCAGTTGCTAGGAAACCCGCAACCTCCTAGCTTCCCTCCTAATCCTGACAGGTCCCTCTGCGCCTGCCTCTCTGTGGCTCAGTCCCAGGCCTTGAAGGAGAGATATCTATGCACAGACACAAAAGCAGGAGGGACAAAGGCCTTTTTATACAGAGATAACTCGTGTAAGAATTCTGAGCAGGGAAAGAAAAGAAAGAAAAGCAAAAAAGACTAGAGCCTATCAGAATTGTATCATCTGCTTGGCACTGTTACTGTCTAAACAGCCCCCAAAAGGCTTTGAGGACAAGAGGCTTTGGTCTGGAAGTCAGTAGCCATAGACCACAACTAGGAAGGGAAAGAATGAAGGAAGGAAGGGAGGGAGGAAGGAAGGAAGGAAGGAAGGAAGGAAGGAAGGAAGGAAGGAAGGGTGGAGGGAGGGAGGGAGGGAGGGAGGGAAGGAGGGAGGAAGGAAGGAAGGAAGGAAGGAAGGGAGGGAGGGAGGGAGGAAGGAAGGAAGGGAGGGAGGGAGGAAGGAATGGAGGGAAGGAAGAACGGAAGGAGGAAGGGATAGAAGAAGAAAGGAAGGAAATAAGAATTTTTTAAAGTACCTCCTATGTGCACTTTCTCATTTGACCCTAATAACAACCCTGAGAAGTAGGTGCTATTGTTATCCCTATATTACAGCTGGGGAAACTGAGGGAAACAGGGTGAATTGACTTGCCCAGGATCACACAGCAGCGTCTGACATCACTTTTTAACTTGGGTCTTCCTGACTCCAGACCCAGAGCTCTACCCACTGCACCATCTAGCTGCCTTCAAAGTTATATTCATTCTATGGGGGTTCTACACAGAGGGTTCTCCAAGACCAGATGAGATCAACATATATAAAGCACTTCTCAAACCTTAAAGCCCTCTGTAACTGCTAGCTATTATCATTACTATTATCTATGAAATAGTCACTGTAGCCACTTCAGCTAAAGCTTCTGAATGTTGGTTCATAGATTACTACCTGGGACAACCCTCTTATTTCACAGGTGAGACAAAAGAACCCCAGAAAAGGGAAATGACTTATCCACAATCACCTAGGTAGCGAGGGGCACAGCCGAGATTTCAAACAAGGTCCCCTGACAGCCAGTCCGGAATGCTTTCCTCTAAACCACACTCATGTTCTAAGCTAACCGTCCTCTCACAGGAAACAACAGTCAGCAAATGAGTGCCAGATTACTCTGGAGGAGGAACCACGTGACAGGGACCCCCAGATTTTTTGGAAGAGGTAGTCTAGATCTGTAGTTCTACACACACACGCACATACATGTCCATGCACGTGCACACACCTAGTTTCTTTCACAAAAGAATAAAGTCCCCCTCATTTGTTATCTAAAATCTTAAGGAGTTCTCAGTCACTGAAAGGTCATGCCCTTCCCAGATGTTGTAGTCAGTCTATGTCAAAGGTGAGCCTTGAACCCAGGTACTGCTGAATCCAGTACTCTTCTCTATGATTCAAAACCACGGGATTTTTTAAGAATGGAAATTCTGACTCCTAAGCCTGGGGGAATGAGCAGCAGGGGGGCCGGCAGAAAGCCCTGAGTTTTCAGGTGACCAGGGAGGGATGAAAGGGATAAACAAGATGAGAGACAAAGGCCCCTGGGATGATGCCAGCCAGGCTTTGTTACCAAAAGGGAATAAAAGACTAATTCAGGAGAAATCTGGGAGCAGAGTCAACACAAAACTAAAAGGCCAATTTGGGACTCAGACACATCTAGTCCTTCCTCTGGCCTGTTTCTTCCTCTGTAATATCAGGGTGTTGGACTAGATGACTTGTAACATTCCTCCCAGCCCTGACATTCCCTGTTCTAAGGCATTTCCCAGCTCTGACATCCCCTGTCTAAGGTTCCTCCCAGCTCTGACATCCCCTGTTCTAAGGCCCCTCCCAGCTCTGACATCCCCTGTTCTAAAGCTTTTCTAGCTCCATGTTCCATGTTCTAAGACTGCTTTAAAGGTTCTCAGCAGCCAGGAAAACCGAGCACAATTATGGTGCTGTGGTAGTAGACTCAGGGGGCAGAAGGGGGGCAGCACCCTGCAGTGAAGGGACACTGGATTGGGAGCCAGAGTACCTGGGATTACATACTATTTCAGGTGCTCACTACTTCAGTTTCTACATCTGTGAAATGGGAGGCTTGGACTAGATGGATTCTGCAGTTC